GTTCTGGCTGAGCTGCTAGGTGATTCTCGAGTGGACTCCGTACAAGGTATCATGGCTGCTTTCAAGGCATATGACGATATACGAAGACCTCGCAGTCAGAGAGTTGTTACTACCAGCAAGGAAAACGCCTATTTGTTTTCATTGTGTTTGAATGGAATTGGGGATGATGCGGAAAAGTTGAAGGAAACGCTTCAGGAGCGGTCTCGGTGGCTTTGGGACCTGGATGTTGAGGGTCAAGTGGAGCGAGCGAGGAAAAGAATGAGTGAATATTTGCCGGCTCGATGAAAAATGAAGCCGTTCTGAGATATGGGTGTCTCATAACACCTTGACTGCAATTCGGCATTCTGTAGTGATGGATCATTACCATTGACCGCATGTTGGAACTATTGACCTATAAAGTTGAAATAGCCATTGCTTGTTGTAAAGTAGTATGCTGCCCGTAGAATCGTTATAAATATTTTGACATGATATAATATACAATAGATCGCCTCTCCCAATGGTTCCAAGGATATGTTGATATGTTGGTCATTCGTCAGCTGGCAAAACAGTGACCTGATAATCTTGTGTGCTCGTAGTCGAGAGATTGCGTCGTTTCAGCGTCCGATCTTGATCAAAATAATCTTCGTATTGTTTGAGTTCACCCGGGCTGAGCAGTCCGGTCTGCGCAGGCGATTTAGGATTGACTTTTTGGGCTCCCGGGTTGGTGTACATAGCATCGCAGGTCTTTATACGTAACGGAGCTCGGGGTCGTTTGATTTCAAACGGAAAAGTGGCAGAATTCCGTCTTGCTGTGTCTCCGTTATTGTCGCCTGGATTTTGGAGGTGGGACGGCGACAGGTAAGACGAGCGGCATGGAGATGAACAGAATAAATGTCCAGAAGTCTTTCCATTGCACGCTGGGCACTTTTCAAACAGGGAGGACATTTTTGAAGTAAGGAAATATATGTAAAGTATAAGGAGGTATAAGAAGGTTGAATATTAATATAGAGTTGCGCCTCGAGAAATTAACCCCAGGCCCTGGTCATCCCCAGTTTAAATGTTTCTGATCTACCATCCAGCATGTTGCTTGGAAATTGATCGAATTCAATCGGAACCGATTTACGGCCGGTACCACGAATTGCAAGAAAGTCGATGACAATCTCTCAACCTTGACCGATGCAGGTTTACAGGACCCATGGTTCGAACATGTCAGGTAAACCTTAAAATGAAATGAAACTTAAAAAACTAAAATTTAAAAAAGCAAAAAAAGAATGCCCTCGTCCAGGTTCGAACTGGAGACCTTCGGATGTCAATCTTGTTACCAAGAACGTCATAAGAAAGGATATATGAGACCGACGTCATAACCAACTAGACCACGAAGGCTTGTATGATAAATTCAAGGCTTCGGGAGATTCATGAAAGTGCGCTCGAGTTCCATTACTTAAAGGACCAGAAAGATCAACTCTTACTACAGTATCCTTCGTCATATAACCCTTATTTAACGCTTGGATGACTTACACAGACTGAACCTATTACATGATAGCGAAATACGGAGAATAGTACAAGAACCCGCCAATAATATGTCTAATTCCCTAAGACTCTCGCAGAAGTTTCCTTTTAGACCGTAAAGAGTAGACCAACGTAACCTGAATTATGGTGCTACGTTACCCGGTTCACGCCAACATGGTTGATTTGACGTGGCTCAATAGCTATGGTGCGATATCGCACTATAATCCAATCCGGCTGAAAAGAAGTGAATCTGAAAAGATATTGAGGCTGAAAATGGTCTTCCGGATGTAGAAGCTGGGGCTGAAACGGTTTCAGTGATTATGATTTGTTCATGTCAAGGGCCTATTTGCATCTAGATAGCTTTCATTCCGCCACAGCTCGTATTTAAAGTTAAGTGTATACAACTGATTGGCTGTTTCATATACATCTTACTGGCTGCTTGTTTCTTCCGATGCAGATCAAGTCTCTACTGTCTGGCCGCATTTAGCCTGATATATCAACAGAAAGAACACCAATCGGCTTGGAAAGGGTATCGATGGCTTTAAATCTCATTTGTGGAAGCTCATCTAACTGAATACCCAGAATGTCAGAGGTGTAGATGAGCGTTGGGAGGAGATGCGCTGGGGAACACGGGGGCTGAGCTTGGCCTGCAGCCCTTGGGACGCCTGAATCCCCAGAAAAACGATACAGGAATCTCTCAATGCGGTATTCTTCCTTGTTTTCAAAAAGCAAAACCAGACTACCTAGCACCCGGCCATCGAATTCTCGACGTTGCTGAGCTCTGGAACACGGGGGCTGAGCTTGGGCTGCAGCCCTTGGGACGCCTGAATCCCCAAAAAAAACGATACAAGAGTCTCTCAATGCGGTATTCTTCCTTGTTTTCGAAAAGCAAAACCACACTACCAAGCCCCCGGCCATCGAATTCTCGACATGTCTCGCAAGGTTGACCAATTGCCGATGCCGGCAGAGGCTCGAAAAATGAAGGTCATTGTAGCCAGTCCTAGCCGGTATGAGGGAAATGATTCAACCATTTTGGCAACAAACTGATTCTTATTGGTTAGATCTGGTACCCTGGGTCTCTATAGAGCAATGCAAATTCTGGGGTTCAAACCATATCATCTCTATGAGTGTGTTGCGGTTCACGGCTTGCCACACATGCAGGTTTTCAACGAAGCAATCGTAGCCCAGTATAATCGAATAGCTGGGGTCAAGAAATTCACTCAGAGAGATTTTGAGAACTGGCTCGGGGACTATGATGTAAGTCGGCTTGTGTCTTTTTCGCGAAGTATACAATATGAATATTAGGCTGATACCATGCAGTGCCTCATCGAGGTACCGAGCTACATGGGAATGGATCTCATTCAAGCATACCTGAAGGATCCCGATGTGAAGTTTATCCTCACTGAACGAGATCCAGACAAGTGGGTGACCTCGGTCAACAAGACGGCAGGGGGCGTGGCGAACATGGCACAGCAGTTTCCGTTTTCGATCCTCAAATATTTTGATGCCACGCTTTACGAGTTTCTCGATCTGAATGAACTCGTTTATCGGGCTCTATCCGGTTGCACACTGCTCGGTGGCCCAGATAACAGGGAAAACCTCCGTCAGTACTACATTGACTAGTATGTATTTCCAGCGCTCGTAATTAGACTAGTGTATGGGACTAACGACCTGCGCAGCATCAAAATGGCAAAAGAGACAATTCCCTCAGACCGTCTATGTCTTATTCAACTCGAGGACGGTCTCGACTGGGAAAGTATCTGTCCTTTTCTTGGTCTTCCAGTTCCAGAGGAGCCTTATCCCGATCGCAACGAACCTGAGAAGTTTCAGGCTATGGTCCAAACCTTTCTCCAGCCGAAGATTATGGCTTCAATTATGAGGTTCAGCGCCGTGGCTATGCCAGTAGTAGGCATTCTTGGCTGGGCTGCTGTCAGATATGCACGGTTTTTTGTGGCTTGAGTGAAACGTCAGCCTGTCAGCATTTAGATGCGGGATCAAGTAGGCAGTCAATATTTGTTCATAACCTCCATGTAAATGAGAGATTTTATAAAGGCTTTTTGAAATAATCACAACGAAACAACAGGACTCTAGTTCAAGTATAGCCGAGCCTCGCTTTCCATAGCCCGCGTGGTCCCATGTATAACCCCGCTGAGCATGGAGCTACCCCTCAACACCGGGATTGACGACTGCCTAGGCATCAGCTCCTTCTTGTTTCAGCCTCGGGCATATCGTGGAATTAGATCTGCCGGAAACGTAGATATATTCTCGAGCGCCCGTTTTCTCGTATTCAAGTATCTAACCATGGCAACCATCCAAATTTCAAACGATTCTTTGAGCCTCCTTCAAGATAAAGTTATCTTGATTACCGGTATTTAAAGCTCTCACTATATTTTAGAACTCAAACTCTAACAAAAACAGGCGGTTCATCTGGAATCGGAAGAGCTACTGTGGAACTATGCCTCAAGCACGGTGCCACTGTCATCGCCAGCGACATCAACCCTCCCCAAGCCGACTTTGAAGCAACGGACAAGTTCAAATTTGTGAAAGTCGATGTTACCTCATGGGAAAGTCTCCACGATGCATTCGTCCAAGCCGAGAAATGGTTCGGTCGAATCGACCATGTTTTCGCCAACGCAGGCGTGTCAACAACAACCGATTTCCTAGATGGCAAGCTTGACGACAATGGTGAACTTGCACCCCCTAACATGCGCACAATCAACGTTAATCTCATTGGTGTTCTCAACACCGTGCATCTTGCTGCGCACTATATCCAGAAGCACTCGACCCACCGTGCGGAAGGCGAACTTGGAAGTATAGTTGTTACCGCATCTACATCGTCTTTCCAAAATTTCAGTGCTGGCGACTATACTATTACCAAACATGGTGTTTTGGGAATCATCCGTGGGCTCGAGCATCAAATTGAGGGGAAGGTGCGACTGAACGCTGTTGCGCCGTCCTGGACTGCAACTGGGATGATTCCGTCGGATTTCATTGAATCTCTCGGCGTTGGAGTTCAAACACCCGAAGCTGTGGCCCGAAGTGTGGCTCTGTTGTTTACTGACCAGCAGCGTCATTCTGAGGTTATTTACAGCTGGGATGGGAACTATCAAGAGGTCAATAAGGCAAAGGGTGGGTTGCTTGATGCTTCGGAGAAACTTCTGGTAAATGTAGCCAACGAGGAAACGGTTATGAGGAAGCTCAGGGAGTTAATGCTCCAAAGGCAGGGTTGAGAGTGCTATGTAGTTTCTGTGGATTGAGAAGTGATACTGGGTCTAACATACTCTTTTTGTTTTTATTGTACAAGTGTTTCCTCATCTCTCCCAAATACATCACTCTGTACTTCGTAGACCTCGGAGCATATAGTTCCCCGCCTTCTCCGCATCTTAGGGTTGGCGCATGATTCATGTTAGCCGTGAGTGTAGAGTTGCCTCGGGAGACATGACTATCCACTACGGCTTGTAGTGAGAGTTCCATCCAACTGAGACTGCTATACTTGTTTCTATAATTCCGTCATGGCAGGATTTTCACTGCAATACCCATCGGATCGTGAACTGACTGGCGGCGATTTGTTGGCTCAGTCCCTGAAACAGGTCGGTGTCGAGGTCGCCTTTGGACTCCATGGTGGACATCTCGATGCATTCCTCATGGGATGCGAGTCCATCGGCATTCGCCTCGTCGACACCAGACATGAAACCGTCGCCGTGCAGGCAGCTGAGGGTTATTCTCGAATCAGCATGAAGCTGGGTGTTTGCTTTGTTACTGCCAATAGCGGGTCAGCTCTTTCCATCGCTTTATCATTTCTTTTAGGTCCTTTAGCTTACTAGAATATAGCTTCTCCAACGGGATTCCCGGATTGGCTACGGCATACAGCGATCGAAGTCCCATCCTCTGTATAACATCATCTCCACCACTGCGGGATACAGAGAACAACTCACTCCAAGGATCCATCGATCAAGTTGTCGCTGCTCGGCCTTTCACAAAATTCGCGCATAGAGTTGTGACACCTGAGGAGTGTCCAAGGATTGTATCGCATGCAATCCGGGTTGCACAGTCGGGTGCTCCGGGTAGACAAACCTATGCTATAGCCAGTTATTCGCGAGACTAATAACTATCCATCAGGGCCTGTGCTGCTCGATTTCCCTATCGATGTGCTGTTCTCGCCAGTTCATGCCAAGCTCATAGCCTGGGGGTCGATCGCCTCGCCGCCCATGTTTCGTCCGGGTCCTCATGTAGAAGCTATCAAGGTGGCCGTCGAGCTTCTAGCCACTTCCAAACGACCGGTGATTATAACCGGGACTGGTGCAAAGCATCCACATGTGAGTCTTCTCAATGCTTGTTGACACTCCCTCTAATGCACTCAGACACGAGAAGTGATTAACCAGTTTGCCGAAACTTGCAATATTCCCATTTTCAACACATCCAAATACGCATCGTTCACCTCCAAGTCAGCTATGCTTAGCAAGGGCACAGCTGGAAGTCTGGCGAAACTGTCATTGCTACAAATCCCAAACCCTGACCTCGTCATCCTTTTGGGTGCCCGTACAGGAATGTTCCTAGGCGGCCGAAGTGGCGCTATAATTCCAAACGAAGGCTGCAAGCTGCTGCAAGTCGACTGTGATGGTAGCGAGATCGGTCGGACCCTCCCAGTTGATCTAGGTATTATCTCGGATGTCGATGCATTTGTGAGTGCGATGAACAAGCAGGTTACAGATGCCTTCCAGAGCGTGGTCGACAAACCTTGGGTCCAGTCACTTCTCAGCCTTGATTCCCTAGAGCCACCGTTTGAGAAAGAACCCACAGAAAATGCATCAGGGATCCTCCACCCATACCATGCAATGAAGGAGGTCATGTCCGCCATCGAGCCTGGAAGTATTATAGTTCTGGATGGTGGTGAAGCCTCTGCGTGGGCAGGAGACCTTGCCTTGCACTCTAAGCCTAGTGTTGTCCTTGCATCCACGGGATATCTTGGGTTTTTGGGTAATGGATTTGGGTATTCGCTAGGCTGTGCCATAGCGGATCCTGATCGCAAGGTCATCAACATACAAGGAGACGGGTCTGCTGGGTTTCATTTGATGGAGCTTGACACGTACAAGAGGTTCAACCTGGATATCATGACTGTTGTTGTAAACAACTCGAGTTGGGGTATGAGCTTCAACGGTCAGGATATCATCTATGGGTCCACGAACCCAGGTCGTCCCATCAGTGCTCTCAGCTCGGCAACCGAGTATGATGTGGTGGCTAAAGGACTGCAGAATTCAGCCGCGAGGGTCTCACGTCTCTCGGAGATTCGAAGCACAGTTACCAATCTCCAGAGTCAGGTTGGACCCAGCCTTCTGAACCTGATTGTGGATCGGAAACCTGTTCATCCTATTACCACTGCAATGGTTGGATTGACGGATGATCCTCACTCAATTGTGGTGCCGTATTATGATAATATCCCGCGAGCATACTATAACCTATAGCATGCAGAGGCTAAGGCCTATCAGTCTGTCCTGGGTTGTATGTAACCATTGTGCCCTCGCTATTTATTTCTATTCAGCGGCTTTTATTTAGGACTATGCTGGCTCAATAGGCTAGAAGTTTTTTGATTCATGAGCGCAGGACTTACAGACGTGACGAGTTTCTGGCATTTGGATAAGACCTGTTTCTGTTTCTTAGGAACCACCGGTCCTATGGCTTTCTAGGGGTAAGTATCAATGAAAGACCGAATGCATTTCTTGCCAACAGAGGGAGTAAGTGTTGATTGCATGCGGGCGATTTCTATGCTAGCTCTCTGAACCTTGCGAGAACATTGAAAACGAAACATCATTGGAGGTAAGAATATAATAATACTTCTAGAGTTCGATGGATATGATAACCGCTGTCCAGAGCCTTGTAATTATCAAGAATAAAAGCTCTTTGGGGATGAGAATATTTCCAAAGACACATCCATAGTTTGGTGATTATGGAAGGGGTAGTTTGTAGCAATATAAAGCTGCAGCTGAACAATGTGTTTATTTAATTCCCCCGGGAGAAAGGCAAGGTGGTTCTTGGATCGACGTTATTGTATGTATATCAAGGGGCTTTAAACACGAGAAAATGAGAAAAGCCCGGGCGAAATAGAAATCTTAAACTTAAAATTCTTGTGCATTCATGAACGGGTATTAAAATATACACTTAAAAGAAACAACCCCACAATATAAAAAAGGCCGAACTAGAATCAATCCCACTACCGACCAGTAGTACATCAAATAAACTTCAAGGTATGGAAACATGGATCATAAAAGGAAAGAAAAGTCGAGTTCAGCAATATCCGGAACAGTAACGGTAAGTTATACAACCATTCCCGACCCCACCACATACTCACTCTCACTCTCAAGCTGGAGTTTAAGTGCTCGACAAATCAAGACCGGCCTCCTTAAGCGCCTGATAAACATTCAGGTTAACAGTCAAGTTATTCGCCGCGAGAGCCTTGGTAAAGTAGTCCAGATTCTTCCCGTGATAAACGCTGGAATTGCCGGTGATCTGGAAAGGAACAATACCATCTTTGTATGGGTTATCGCTTGAAGAAAACATAGTAAGGATAGCGGCTTGGTTGACGTTTGCTAGCATAGGGATGGTATTGTTTCCTGGTTTGAGGACTAGGTCGTTGAGATAGGTTTGGCCCATTGCTTTGCCGTTAACGGCGAGGTTGAGGGTTAGGTTTCCCTGTTTCATGGGTTAGTATTAGTCCAAGTATCATATCAAGAGAAGAGTTGAGATCGGTGTGTTTGGGATTGAATGAACGTACCATTGAGATAGTCATGACAGATGGGTTCGGAATGTAAACCGTTCCGTTCATGTTATATCCGTTCACGGCGGGTATCATAATGTGGAAATCGGGGACAGCAAAGCCCTCGAGTTTATTCAATCCTGTGCATTGGAGCCATGTCAGTCAATCTCGACCCCAAAACATAAACTCGAAACCAAACTTACCCTTCATAACAACAGTCTTGTTATAAGTAACCGTCGTCTTAGGCAAAGCCCCCTGCTTCAACCCAGGAGTCCCGTAAATATTCAACGAAACCTCCTCATTCAACATAACAGCCGTAGCATAATCCCCGAATGCGGCGGCATCGCTCAGATCAACCTTCTGTTCAACGTGGATCTCAACACCGTCAACGGACTTGACGCCAGGCACACGCACAGTCGTGAAAGGAGCCGCAGCGCCGAGCAGGGAGACAACCGCTTCGAACTCGTAGATCTGCGGGTGGTAGGGGCTCTTCGAGCCGAGGACTTGAGTCTGGTTCAGCTGGAATGAATCCGGAGTTGGGTCGCTGATGACCATCTGTGTGATGTTGAGGGTTGAGTCGTTGACAGCATCTTGGGCAATTTTGGGGTAGGCGACGTAGACGCTGGATGGGGTTGTGTGTGGTTAGTTTTATGTTGGGGTTGTGGTTGGCCAAGGCGACAAGGAAAGACAAGAATCAAGGGATGCTGGTGTGGATGTGGGGTTGGGGTTGGTGCATGGGCTTGGCGGTTATGTTACTTACACTGGCAGCGAGATCACCAGTACGCAGATCACGAAGAAGATTAGATGCGCCCACCAGAATCGCTTAAAGTGCGCGCCGACTCGTGCGCCGAAGGATTGTTTGGCTGGGGCGACAACGCCTGCGCCTGTTTCGGCCTCTTCAACGTGGGCCTTTGTGACGGACATTTTGTCGAGTCTTGGGGTGTGTGTGTTAGTAGGAAGAAGAGTCAATTGTCAACAAGGTGTTGAGTTGACTTGGACACGACAGAACTTACCAAGTCACGCACCACAAGGAAGGGGGAAAGAGAAGGAAAGGGAGAAAAAAAGAGTGAAAATAGAAAAAAGGCAAGCGTAGATGAAGAAGTAGTATCTTATACTAAATGGGGCTGCATGTCCGAAGTCGTTAAAAAGCAAGCCGAGAACGCCCTTGGAACGGTCTATCACATGTGCAATCTAAACAAAGGGGACAATGGTGGCGGATCGTCCTTTTGCTATGCATAGAATAGATTAATACAGTCCAAGATTAGCCAAGTGTAGTTCCTGGGGAACTCCGGAGTTCTGCTGTGGAGAGAAGCTGGAGAAATGGGGTCTAAATCTGGAGGATCGACGATAAAATCTAGAGATGTTTCAGAAGGATACATTGAAAAAGGAACATATGAAACCCAAATGGGCCGAGGTGAGGTTGAGACGAGAATCTCATTTTACGCCCAAATCAACTAGTCGTTTGGGCGTTGTGCAACAGCACATTCGGGAACTGGATGGTTGCACTGGCTCAGAAATGCCTGCAAGAGGATAACAGTCTCATTGGCTGCTGGTGAAACTAGCAGCTTAGACGGTGCATGCCAAGCGGGGAGGCGACCCTAACATGCAAGGAGAGGCCCCGTATTGAGCTTAGGAAATGAATTGGCCCCGGGACCTGTGGCGTTTCTAGAGGGGCGCCAGTATTCTTTGGGGAAGTGTCAAAGCCCATTTGTTGCGCTCTAGGCATGTTTGGGGTCAATCCCCGGGGCCGAGCCAGGGTTAGCGTGAGGGGTCAAAGTCCGGGGTCAGCTGAGTTGATCGGCTCTATATTCTTGGTTTTATATCTACGCATGTGAATATTGCTAATGCCAATGGCTATACGAGAAGGGAGAGATCGCGTCTTAATTCTGGCATGAGTTCATGGGTCGCGCTAGTAGCGCCAGCCGAAAGAGAGGTAAATAATGGTGGGATCCAAAAGGGGAAAGAAAAAAAGGTAAGGGGGGATCAAGTCCGCCAGAAGATATGGCCAAGAAGAGAAATGGCAAAAGAATCAGACAGTGAAAAGGGAACAAAAATGATGGGGAGAAATAAAGGGTATCCACGAAGAATTGAAGTATTAAGCCTGCGAGACAGAGGGACGGAATTTATTTCCAGTCCAACACGCTCGAAAACAGCTGCCCAGGCGGCTCTGATGAAATGGCAAGATGCAAAGAAAGGTGAAAATGACAAAGTAAATATGAGAAGAGAAAGGAATGTAAGAAACGAAAACTCGGAAAAGGCTGGCGAAAGCGAAAAAAAAAAATCGGCTTAAAACGCTCCAAGCACTTTGCAAGATGCAAGATGGATGGTTGCTGCATAACAGCTCCGGTAAAGATTGAGCAAAAAAGAGAAATGAAAGGACAGAACCAAGCAGTCTACGCCTCTGGGACGATAGACTTCTTCCGCTGGAAGATACTGCGAGTACGCGACTTGCTTCGTGGTTTCTTATCCTTCTCGCCGCTAGCATTTCGGCCGCGGGAGCGTGGGTTGGCTTCAGCCTCAGCCATGTATTTGTCTTTGTAGATCCTGAAACAATGCGTTAGTGACATCCGAGTAATTGATCGTGTTTCCTGTGACGTACCAGCTGTTTCCAACCATGCTCATACCCTTGGACTCAGCCTGACGGTAAAACCGCGCAGCCTTCTTCATGTCCTTCTTACAGCCAACACCCTCCGCATAGCAGAATCCAGCTTCGGCCATGGCATCGACATCGCCCCATTGACCGGCAATCTCGAAGCAGCGCAGGGCAAGAGCCTTGTCCTGCTCAATACCCCAGCCATTCAAATGACTGACGCCCAGCTCGTAAATGCTCAGAGCAAATTGCGCTCGGTATGCCTTTTGCAACTCCTTTGCCTTGGAAGCGCCAGGAGCATCGGGATTGGCGAGCATTTCCAAACCGACGGAATCCACGGCTTTGCGTAACCATCGTACACCCTCCTGCTGATTAGACCGCATGCCCCAGCCGTGCCGACAGGCCAGCGCATAAAGCAGCATTCCCGTCGGATGATTCTGTTTCGCGGCAACCCGCAGGTGATAGGTCGATTCACTCAATGACCCCTTCTCGTGGCATTCGATACCCTTGCCTACGTGATCATCGGCCGTGAGGCCAGATGCCGTCACCTGGGTGGTAGCAGTCTGGGGTCGCATGGTGCTAGCTGAATCGGCAGAAGATATAGTTTCATCCTTCTCGTTTGTCGTTGATCGGGTCGTTTCAGCAGAGGGCCGTGGCACCACCGGCTCTAGCTTTTTCTCTGCCTTCTTCTCTACCGAAGTAGGCACAGGAGGGGGTGGTGGAACTCGTTCAGACTTGGGTGTTTGAGGCTGAGGCGTAGTAGAGGCTGGAACTTCGTGCATGGAATGAGGCTTAGGTGAGTGGTCGAATTGAGGGCGTGGAGAAGGCGAAGGTGTCCGTGCCGTCCGGGGTGGTTCCTCTGAGTTCCGAGGAGGTGTCTTCTCAAACAATGGCTCTGACCACTCGAAATGGGGTGTTTGCAAGCCCGCAAACACCACTGAATCTCTGGAAATTCCACGGCCACGGGGGAGCGAATAACTAGCATATGTGTAGGACGACACAGCAGAAAGTGGGTCGCCTTCACCAGGAGGGGCTTTGTCTGCTTCTTCAGTCGCCAATGGCAGGAGGATGGGAGTCGGCTTGCTGCGACGCTGCATCTGGTTGGGTTGGTGGGCAATGGTGTGCTCGGAAACTGTTGAAGCCCCAGGGGCAGACTGGGCAGACAAGCTCGTGCTGGACCGACTGAGAGGCCGGGAGAAATTGAAAGAAGGGCGCGGCAGATGGTGGTTCCCCGTATTCGAAGTTTCCGAGCTCATAGATGGTGATCGTGGGTGTGGTCTGGCGGGGTACGTTGACACGGGGGAATACGGCAATGACACCGCACTTCCAGATGACATCTTGCGCGGCTTAGAGAACGTCGATCCGCCGTTGGAGCTGCTGTAGTCATCATCAGAGCTCTCGGGGTGTGCAACTTTGGTACTGCTGGTCGATCGCGAGTGCGGCGACACTGGTGGTGCCAAAGTCCGGGGGATGTGCAGGCGCGATCCGGAGTCGGTCGATGAGCCTCGTGGTTCTGTCAATGCAACACCAACAGACGCACCCTCCGCTCCGCTCGCAAGCGACGCATCCTCCTCGGGGGATTCAGCACGGGGCATCCCAAACACCTGCGGGCTGGACTGGAGCATCGAAGTCCGGGGCGTCGTAGTGTCATCTTCCCAAATGCTAGCATCGGTGCTAGCATTGGAAACCGAACTGAAGCGCGGGTGTTCGGAAACAGGGCGGTACTTGGGCTCTTCGAATTCTGGGAGGCCTTTCTGCGTGGGTTTGCGGGTGAGCTCAGTGGTTGGTTCGCCGGTGAGGTCGGTGCGACGTTCGGTAGACGAATTAGAGCGGTAGAAGCCCGGGCGGCCTTGTGAAAGCGATCGAGCCACGCTAGATGGTGGCAGTCGGCTCATGCGTCGGTCTCCGCGGCGGGACTCGTCGAGCTGTCGGGCCAGGAATCGGCCCTGGGCGGCGAAGGCATCGAGGGGGGAGAGGGCGGGAGGAACTTCACCGTCGAAGTGCGCTACCCGCGGCGAGGGCATGCCACTCCGTAGGGTGTCGTGGGATGTCGAGCGATATTCGCTCAGTTTCCCACGGAAATCCATGATCACGGGGTATCGAGGGGCCCGATTTGTTTATCCGCAACGGTTGTCGGGGTGAGTCTCACGATCAGATCATTCCAGAGTCGGATCGGAGAAAATAAGACACAAAGGGCGGGGGAGGCGAAGGTTAAGCCGAAGGAATGACAGCCCTAGAGATGAAGAAGGGTAGAAAGGAGAGACAAGGGAGAAAAACGGAAAGCCCTGACGATCACAATGGGAAACGACACGATGACAACGTAAATAGAGCGTCCCGTGCAAAGCTCCACAAGGTCTCGACGTCCACCCAAGGGATCTCAGGGGGAGTTTTCTACACCTTCAGGGGGCCGCCAAGAATTGTAATTGACACCATCCGGGACTGCATTGTACTGTTTCCATTGGCTAATTCGGTTTTTCACTATTGACTACTCCTGTATTTGGATATTTCGTGCGTGAAGTGATTTGTTTGTGACCCGCAATCTTCTAGAATCTCTGGTCTCCCCACACGGGTTTCATGGTTCTCTTCTTTGGCCTATGGGAGAATTCATCTTGGGTCTCTGTACATGCTGCCCAATTATATTGGACAAGCTGACAATATTTTGAGAAACAGGAGACACATTGACAAAACAATAATCATGAAATTGGGATAAAAATAGGGATAAGTCTATGTGGGACCGTTGGGGTAGAATGGCATTGTTCTAAAAGTTCGGTAAGCCAAATATCCATATTTCAAGACGTTCCAGAAATTCTATGTCATCGAGCCCTTGTTGTAAGTTACTGTGACTGAATCACCTTCCAAGTGAGGGTACACACTAACTGTTACCGTTTGCTGATCAGCCCGAAGATCCCCACCATGTTTCATGATACAACGCTGGTCTAGCCTAGTAGTTGTTCCAGATCTGCAGATCGTAAGATAGTTGCTCACCTACGTGTGTATCAAGATTTTGAATTCTATCAGTCTTATTGTAGATCCATGTGTCAACCTGGAGCTAATCATAGACAATATTCCCTTGTTATTCACCCTGGAGTACGTATCTAGTCTACGACTGCCAAGCCAAATATGCCGTGCCTGCTGGACCCATCCAAGGATCTGCAGATGACGTGAGGCACATCCATTATGATACTGTACAATGTTATTTGTCCAGAGGCTACACGTATACATGTCCTAGATAGAGAGATCTATGTACCAGATATAAATAAATCTTCCTGCCTGAGGCGTATCGGGTATTCTACCATGGAATGGGCGTCCATGTGTCCACGGATGCCAGTTCCCTCAGCCAATAAACAGCATCCTAGTGGGGCAGCCTTTCCGTTCTTAATTTGGCTCTGGAGAGGGTCGCGTTTTGCTTCTTCTCTCTCCACTGTGTCTCTACATACTTTCAATGCTTTTTCAATGTGATCATGCATGCATCTGAAACCCACACTGTACAGTAGCTGATCAGTACATTTATTCACTTGGCATGATCTCCACAGCCCTACAGAGGTCAAAACGCTAATCATCGGACAATCTTAAATCCCGATCTCACTCCTAATACGAACACAGACCATTCCATGACTCGAGCCTAGAGCTGGCTGATTCTGACTCTGTCTCTGATTCAATCACCACTGCACTCTTTCGGTACGTACCGCCGAAGCCAGTGGGGCAAAATGGACCTAAGACTAAGGCTAAGAGCCAAGTTCATGCACCACCTGCTCTTGTCGTCGTAACCGAGCCCTACCACAGGCGGCCGAGCTTACATTCACCTGGAGCTGCAGTGCAACCTATCCCCTCCCCTAAACCCGAACAAGCGATAGCTTCCAGCGGGAAGCACACTGAAGTCATGTAGACCGGATCCGGCCACAACCGGCGAGTATACAGAAAAAATGAAAAATAAAAAATAAAAAGAGGAAAAATAATTCTCTCCATTTTTCGCATGTACCTTTTTGCTTCCTCTGTAGCTGTTCCCAGCAAGCAGTAAGCGCAGCAAAACGGCTCCTCGCCATGCGCCGCATCCCACTAACAACGCTCTTCGGAGTGGACGCGCCTCATGACGACAAGCACCATTTTGAGACATCATGGCTCCTCCCGCCAACACTCCTCGCCTGTCTGCGCGGCCTGATCTCACTCTACATTTTCACCAGCATCTTCACGATCTGGGGCTGGTACGGATCCCACGATGAACGCTATGTGATCGGCCAATCCTTCAGCTTCTTCACTTGGTTGACATACTGGGGTCTGGGATTCTACATGCTCTTCGCTGCGATCCATACAGCCTGCTACGCACGAACAGGTCGCTCGGTCCTCTTTGATCGCTGGCCGCGAGCCTGTCGTGTGCTCCATAGCCTGTTGTATGCGACGATCACTACCTACCCGTTCCTTGTGACGATCGTTTTCTGGGTGATTATCTACAGCTCGCCGTGGTATAAGGTGACATTTACGGGCTGGCAGAATGTATGTGGTTTGTTTTGCGTTTTTGGCTTTTTTGATATTCCCCAGGAAAATTGAGGATTCACTGTGAATGTATCCGAAACTCACATCTATACATCTCTCCCCACCCCGCTTCCCGCCCTCCTACATTCCACTGGATAATGACAACCGCAATTCTAACTCGAGACTAACATTTCCGTTTTCGTATTTTTTCAGATCTCCCAGCATGGCCTGAACTCCCTCTATGCCCTCCTTGAAATCTTCTTACCTGCTACTGCACCGCATCCCCTCATCGCAATCCCATTCTTAATCCTCATCCTCCTCTTCTACCTCTGCGTTGCATACATCACCTACCACACCGAGGGTTACTACCCCTACACATTCCTAGACGTCGGCAACCACGGTCAGAAGAGCGGTCGTGTGACGGGATACTGTTTCGGGATTCTAGCCGCCATCCTGGTGATCTTCTTCATTGTCTATGGACTGATTCATTTGCGTCGCTGGTTGACGCATGGGAAGATTAAGCGCGCGAGGAGGGATCCGCTTTGTCGGGGTGATGGGTTGGGGTTTGGGGGTTTGACTAGGGGGGGTGGGGAGGAGATGGTCGAGACGAAGGAGGTTCCTGTTTGAAGGATGCTCCGGAGTGATCTGTCAATCCTTCTGTAGTTTGAAGGGTTGATGATGGGTGGCTGTACAGATGATGGTGCTGCATGATACCTCTTCTTATTCCCCCTTTCTACTAACTTAACTGCCAATCGGGTCTATGAGTCCTGACTTACGTCGATATGCCATAATGTGAATGATCAAGTCAATATCAGAATCAAATTCTGTTGAAACATCATTAAGAGCGAAGAGTATTTCCAAGATATTATTTACATAGATTGAGCAAGCGAGTGCTTTTGGTAGATGGGAGAAGGGGGAAAGGAAAGGGATATATCCGAATGTGGCAGGCCGTGCTCAAACTCTTTCCCAGCTGGTTTCACTGCCGCTGCCACTCGGGCTGTGTGTTCCCATTGTGCTGCCGCTGCGGTACCCCATCATCATGGCTACGAGGCCGCTAGGAACCCAGTTACCGATCAGGCTGTACGAACGCGCTCCGCGTCCCACGTACATGACGGTTTTCTTGGAGGTTTTCTGGCCGAGCATACCCCGGCTTCTGGGTTCCAGGGCATCGAGAATAGCATAGTGAAGGTTCCGCGCGGGAGAACCGCGTACGGCGCTGGGACCGGCTGATGCAACGGGTCGTTGTTCAACGCTGGATAGGTACTGCGAGCCGTAGAGGGCTCGCTGTTGTGTGCTCCAGGCGAGGACTTCTGTACCGGCGATCTGGCTCTGACTGTGTCTGTATGTGGGGCCCAGATCGATGTTTCCAAGTCGCAGCTCGACGACGTCGACGTTGCCCTGCTCGAGGAGACGGAGTTCCTGACGAAGTGAAGCTGCAAAGCCCGAAATTGCTCGGCTTGTGGCTACTTCAGGTCCAGCGAAGGGTGCGGACAGAGAGGAAGAGATAGATGGGTAGGCGAAAACAACAGTCTTGCTGTTACTGCGGAGTGTGAGAAGAGGGAGGAAAGCTTGCACGGTGAGAATGGGCGAGAGGATACGGGTGTTGACTGTGTCGGCCCAGGATGACGGCGGAATGGTGGCGACAGGGCCTGCGCTATAGTTGGTCGAGGGCACAATGATCAGGCCGCTCAGCTGGCAGGTGTGAGGAGGCACTCCGGCGGTAGGAGACTGGGGCTGGGTGATCAAAGAACGAAGTCCATGCAACGAAGGGTGAACCTCAGATGGCAAGGGGGATGACTGTTTCAGGTGGTTAGCTATATTCTACTGGGGAGCTGGAGAGCTTCGGGATGGAAGCTTACCGTTGTGAGATCCAACCACAAAGGCTTGATATCAACACGGTTCTCAGACTGAACAATATGCTCTTCATCCGCGGAAGAAACAGTCACGTATACAATGTATCCGCGGCGTTCCAAATCCATAGCGATAGCTCTAGTCATCGGCTCATGCGGCGATCCAGCAACGACTATCATCGCAGTTAGTACTCATGCACCTCGAACTAGCACCGATGTATGACACATACCAACAATCTCTTTTCTACCACCGTTGCCTGCTCTCTTGGCCTTTCTCCGCTTCCCATGCAGCTTCTTTCCGCCGTAGTATAAAACGACGCCAGTGCCGACAAAAGCGAGGATGGCCGCTGTCCATGCGCGATTCCGAGAAACCCAGTTTTGCACCCGGTCCGTCAGGCGTTGCGGGGGGCGCATGCGTTGGGAAGCGCGGGAGGACGGGCGAACAGCGGGAGGTAGCCAGGACTGCTGGGCGATGGCATCTTTGATCAAGCTCGCGGCATGGTCGACTTGTCGGTCGATCGACTCGGCGACTTCGAGAGAGTATCGCCTTACGTCATGGGGTATAGACGAGAGCTGAGTAGACCGAAATCAGCGATGTCTTATCTGGAGGTTTCAGTTGAACCAAATACTCACGTAGTCGAAGAAGAACTGATCGTCGCTCGTCATCTTGTTTGTTGTTTGGCGCAGGGAAAGAAAAGAACGACAAAAGTTGATAAGATCGAGTCCGATAAGTGTTCTTGGCGCTATCGGTCACATGAGCTCAATCTATAAGAGCTGACTAGAACTAATGGTTTATATCATTTTTATATCTGGTTCTTAATCATTTTGTGTTTAAATATGGTGTCGGGTATTGGGATGGTAAATAATTCGATGTTTGAGTCTTCTTCATGATCAGATTCCACAGTGTTGCCAGTGTATATATTTGCCGAATCCAGAGACTTGCCATGCAAGAGAAACAAAATATCACACCATGACGATCTCCAAAGTCGTGAGCTTGTATCTCTACCTGCCGATTTCGCTTCTCTAAGAAATATCTACCTACCTCCATGTGACGGATGAGCAGGCCAAACCAAGCAGATCTGGCAAATATAATCACGTGATTATACACAACCTGATATATCAGGCGGCGAGGGTTGCCTTGCTTTGATTATCAATGCGAAGGACGATGAGCCTGGAACTATCCTGTCGCTTCCATTGCTGGCAGACCTGGTGATCATCCGCATCACATACCATTCTTTGATCAATGGTTTGATGCGAGATCACTTCTTCAGGACCTTGGAGTATGCTATCCTGACGGAGACAGTGACATCTGGCCTCCGTCACATATTGGTGACAATACCCTCTGTTAGACTGCCAGAGTATCTAGGACCAAGGACTGCAAGATGAGAGAGCTTGACCCATTAATATCTGAGTACCGCCATGAAAAGAAGCGCCCACGAGAGTCGGAGGCACTCTTCATCCTGCGCAAAGTCGCGTCCTTAGTCAAACCGATTATGCGACAGCGCGCCTGGAAAGTGGGAGCGCTATGTGAGTTCTATCCGCAGCAGCGAAATCTGCTAGGGTTGAATGTCAACTCCGGTCAGAAGATCTGCCTGAGACTACGGTATCCCTCTGACCAGCGACAATTTCTTCCCATCGAAGAAGTTGTGGATACGATGCTTCATGAGTGAGTAATATCATGGTTCCATATCTCATAGTACCTAGACTTATCAACTACAGACTCTGTCACAATGTGATTGGCCCTCACAACCAGCAGTTTCATGCGCTGTGGAATCAACTCCGCGACGAGCATGAGGAACTCATCAGAAAAGGCTACACCGGAGAAGGCTTCTTATCTCAAGGGAAGCGCCTTGGTGGCCAGAGAATCCCGTTGGATGAAGCTCGACGCCAGGCTCGCGCTGCTGCTGAACAGCGAAAGGTACTTTCCAAAAACTCGGGGAAAAAGCTCGGCGGGGCGCCTGTTCTCCGCGGAACCGATATACGCAAGCTTCGTGCAGATGCTGCCCAGCGGCGCGCTGAAGTTACCGCAGGTTGTGCGTCTGGTACAGACAAAAGCACAGAGCTTGCCGAAGAGGCATCTAGGAACGGGTTCAGGACTCAAGCCGAGGAGGACGATGCAAACGAGCGGGCTATTATGGAGGCCTTCATTGAATTGATACAAGAGGAAGAACGAGAGAAGCATGGCTCTTCATATCTTCCACCCAGTCAAGAGCATCCAGCTGGACCTCGAACGGAATCATCACCACCTGCTCGTTCCAATACTCCGCCTGCTACTTCTGATACCCCTTCTGTGCCAACACAAGAAGCTGTAACCTCTAATCAGAGTCATAATGTGGATCACAAAGCTGATAACAGCTCATACGACAACCCGTGGACCTGTCCCACGTGCACTCTCGAGAACCCTCCCAATTTCCTATGCTGTGATGTTTGTGCAGCAGAACGCCCGCCTCCCACCAATATTCAACCATCATCTACATCCACCCCAGGGAACACTTCCAATCAACCTCAGCAATCAGTATCACGGGGTTCGACGAAACGATCTTTACCTCCCGATCAACTGGACGACAAGAAGAACCCCAAAGATACATTTGCCTTCAAAAACCGTACCCGCGCGAAGGATTCCCTCAAAAAACTGGATCAAGGTGTCAATAAGAAACCCCTTGGATGGGTTTGCACCTCGTGCAGCAGCTTTATGGAAACCCAGTGGTGGACATGCTCCTGCTGTGGAACCATGAAGCCATCCTCTTAAATGGGTCAGGATCTCCCATCCCATGTAGACACGCACTTATGTCCTTATGAACAACCATGTAACATGTTAAATGAAAATAATTATGTCCAAATATGAGACCCGAAACTCCATCCACCTGCCTACTGACTATCTCTATAGAACCCCAACACGTGACCATGACAAAGCATAAATAGCTCCACCCAAATTTCTTCCACAATTTTCCCTCGAACCTCCGAGCCAAACTTTTCTCTTTCTCGAACAACCCAAACATCCAATTCCAGTGTGGACAACAGATTAACAATGCAACTGATCAGTTCTCCACAATGGAATGAATTACTAACAGGTATGTATCCGTCAACACTCTCGACAGCGCCGCAATCGAGGCAAAGAAAAGAAACACAAGCATCGCACCAAAAAAAGACTCTTATATGATGAGATATTTTCTCAAGAACCGGATTTTTTTAGGAAGAGCCGGAAGAGGTATGACGGGAAACCCCCGTTGTCGATGCTTAGAATGGTTCTTCTGAAAGAGTCTTTGATGCTTGCTTTTTTTTCCCTTGATTGTCGTCGTTGGAAGGGAGCAATATCATTTGCCGCGGAGCATTTGCTAATGTTTTGCAAAACAGAGTCCTTATTTATTTTACCTCGCCTGATTGGACGTGCCCGCTATAGAAATAGTTAGAACAATGGACATATGTTACCGTGATACATTTATCTTCCCTCTAACTGATAGACATACACACAGAAATAATCCTAAGATATATGTTCGAGGCAAAGTCTATGTTACTATTGAAATCGATCTATGATACATCCCCTTGATATTCTCTTGAAACTCCCAAGGATATAAAACTTTTGTATGGCAACCAGATAGAGAAGACCGTCCAAGGTAACAAGGTCGAAAATGAATAAACAACGCCAATTGACATGCTTGTACACAACCAATTATATCCCAACCTAGGCAACGCTAACAAACTGGCGCTTCTTGCCCGTTCCCTTGTGCGTCTGCTGCTCCTCCCAAGTCTCCTCATCGACGTAGTCCGTGGTGCCCTGCTCGCGGATCTGATTACCAATGAACTGCAGCGCAGACAGGTTGAAGCCCATTTCGTCCTTTTGGCGGGCGAGGACCCGACGCAGCGAGACCCGGATGCTGTCCAGCATTGGGCGCATCATCTTGCTTGCTACGATCTGGCGATGGTGCGTCTTCAGGATGAAGAATAGCACGCGGCAGGTGAGGGGGACGTTCCATTCGCGGTCGGCCCAGATGTTGAGGAAGGTGAAGAGGTTGGGGAGGGCTGAGAAGGGGAGGACCAGTAGGGCGTCTTGCAGTGCGGCGGCCGGGATCTTTTGCACCGTATTCAGGACGTGCTGCTCGGCGGAGACGTTGTTCAGGGCTAGGTAGACTGGGTTGCGGTCTGGGGCGGCGGCATTCGGGTTGGCGGCCTTGACTAGACGCCATTCGCGCACGACTTCGAGATCTTCGATACCGAGATCCAGGGCCTCCATGATCTTTTCTCCGGCCATGAGGGTGCCGGTTGTCTGCTTTCCAGCGTCGACGGCCTCGGGCTTTTCGCCATCTTCACCCTCCTCGTCTTGCTCGAGAGATGCGGTGAGTGTGCTGTCGTATTGCTCTTCCATTTCCTTCTCGCGTTCTTCCTCCAGGAAGAGCGGCTCGTCTGTTTGTTGCCAGATGCGGAGACTCTTGTCGTGACTAGCGCTGACGATGAATTCACCGGAGCGACTCATGGCAAGGGCCCAGATCTCGCCGTGGTGGCCAACAAGACGTTGGATTTGCTCGAACTTGTCACCGTCCCAGTACTTGATCTGTCGGTCCTTGCTTGCACTGAAGAAGTTGTGACCGTTTCCGTCCTTGTTGTGGGGAACAAAGGCCACGGACATGATGCTGTCTTCGTGAGCCAAGAAGGCCTTGTGACAGTCACCAAAGTCCAGACCCCAGAGTCTGACTGTCTTATCAGCTGAGCAGGTCACAATTAGTTTGGTGTCATAAGAAATGTCCATGCTCAGAACAGGAAGTTTGTGTCCATAGAGGTTGAGGAAAAGCTTCAGCGAGTCGACGAAGAAGACCTTCACGGTGTTGTCCAGCAGCGAGACTGCCAAAAGCCGAGCGTCGGGAGAGAAGCGAAGGTTGAGGATATCATCATTGACCTTCAGAGTTCTGGTGTGTGACAGCTTAAGACGCGGGGTGGTGCGCTTGGTTCCAGGAATCTCTTCCTGAATCACCTTGAATTCCCAGAACTTGGCAGTCTTGTCCGCACTTCCACTGACCATCGACTTTCCATCTGGGTGTACATGAAGTGACCAGACAGGACCGTCGTGTGCCTTGATAGTATCCAGCAATGTTGAGGATGCGATATCGAATACCTCTAGTTCTCCGTTCTTGTTGCCGACGACCACGATCTTATCACCAGGAAGGAAAGCAGAGCAAAGGGAATATCCACACTCAAGGGTTCGTAGACAGCTCTCTGTTTGAACGTTCCAGATCTTGAGGCTGCCGTTTGAGGCAGAAGCAAGCATGCGGTCGTCGGAACTCAATGCGATTGATCGAATATCGGTTCTATGACCAGGGATGTCAACAGCCAAACTCCGGGTGTAGTCGGAGTCTTCGCTGTCGGTGTTCTTCTTGTTTGCCGGCACGACATTGTATGCCTCAAGCTGGTTATTCGTCGTAGCAGCCAGAAGGTTCAAGCCGCTTGATTTGTTGAGCATCCAGTCGAAGGAGCGGACCTTTCCACCAGTCCGTACAATAACATGGGGGACAAAGACCTCGGAAACAGGAGCATTGGCGACATCATCAGCCTTGTCAGCCTCCTGCTCTGCAGCGTTCTCACCGGCCTTCTGTGCCTCCTTCTCCTTTCTTCTCTTCTTCTTCCGTGCCATGCTCTTTTGTACTTCTGACTGGGAGCGGATTCGCCAGACCTCGACCGACTTTTCGGAGCCGTGGATTCCGATGTAGTCTGAGCGGGGGTGGAAGCGAATGCCAATTGTGCGGTCCTTGCCGTGTCGGTAGAAGGTTCCTCGGTCAGTGAGGATTCTGCGACCATCCGCGCCAACCTTTTCCTTGGAGATCTCCACCATAGCCGCCTCATCGATCGACCAGACCTTCAGTTCGCCGTCATTGCCGGCTGTAATACATCCACCCTGGTCAGGCGAAAGGCCCAAGCTCCAGCACTCGCCGTTCGATTGTGCCACATGTGTTTCAATGCAGTGCTGCGATGCTAGGTCCCACACCTTGATCAACGCATCCTTGCCGGTGGTCAACAGGAAACCCGCGTGATCACCCAAACCGGAAGCAGTGAGCAGATCCGCCGAGGGGAACAGGAAATGCAACGAGGTGATCTGATCGGTATGTCCACGGAGTTTGAAAAGACCAACCTCGGTGATCAGATCCCAGACAACGATGTCTGTATCCTTGGAACCACTGGCGAGGCGCACGCCCGCATTGTCGAAGACCAGCTGTGTAATGGCGGATTTGTGACCGTTGAAAGAAATGATAACGGTGGCGGTTCGAGAATCCCAGAGACGAATGCTTCCGTCGTCGTAGCTGAAAGGATAATGGGGTTAGAGAGTGCCATTCTGGGTAGGCGAATTGGAGGAGACTTACCCGACTGCGAAGATATCCTCATCTGTCTTGCTCTGCGTGACCACACTGACCTGCGCTCTGCAAGCAGAATCGCGCCATCTTCCCAGAAGCTCTCCCTTCTTCACATCCCAGCAGAGAACTTCCTCGCTGGCACCGACAATGGCCCGTCCGGCGCCCGTCTGGCGTGCAGCACCGGTCTGCTCCTCTTTGGCCCAGATCGCATTCGACGACGCCGAGGCGACAAGCCCGAACGTATTCGAATGCTCGAATTTGCTGTAACAATGTTAGCCCATACGTCAGATATTTCAAATAACCGGAAACCGCACGTACAAGTATGATTTCACCATCGTTGGGGGTGGATGGGAAAATTTTTGGGATCTCCGACTGCTATCGATAGGACAAAAATAATACGGGCGGCGACAGCGACCGCTCCGGCTCCCCCACCGCCCATGACGATCACGGAACCTCGACAACAGCCACTCTAACACTACACTCTAAGCCATTGTCCTGCCCGTCATGCTTCTCTTAGATTATCAGAACGTTTTGATCCAGTCCCTTCTGACGGAGCGGTTCTCTGAGTACGAATTGCCCTCCCCCCGCACCTCTCCCGCGCATTGTATACACATCGCACCCAGGCATCCAGCTAACAAGCTTACCCCAGCGCACCCCCCGTTTCCATTGACCAAGTGGTCTCCGACTTTGATGGAGTGACATTCCACCTCAGCACGCCCGAGTCCAAGACAAAGATCCTCATCTCGATCCACGTGAAATGCTTCAAGGAGCTGGTTCAATACGGAGCCCAGGAGGTTCTGGCCAGAGAATATGGTCCCTACATCGTTTCCCCCGAGCCGGGTTATGATTTCTCAGTACAAATCGATCTTGAGAACCTCCCCGCGGAGGAGGAAGCTCGGAATGACCTGATCATGAAGCTTGCCCTCCTGAAGCGGAACGCAATGGCTGCTCCGTTCGAGAGAGCCTTCGACGAATTCAATAAGCTTGCCGAGGAGGCTTCCCAATACACATCAGAGTCAGCACCAGCGGGTATTCAGGAGGGTGGTGAGGTCATGGCGATCCACTACCGCGAGGAGGAGGCCATCTACATCAAGGCCAACTTCGACCGAGTTACTGTAATCTTCAGCACTGTGTTCCGGGAAGAGACGGACCGAATCTTCGGAAAGGTGTTCCTTCAGGTGCGTTGACTGCTTACTTCTCTGTCAATCCACAGCGACATGTACTAACAGTTTCTAGGAATTCGTCGATGCCCGGCGACGTGTCGTGACGCTACAGAACGCCCCTCAGGTTCTCTTCCGCAATGACCCCCCTCTGGAGCTGGCCGGTGTACCTGGTATTAAGGGCGCCGGCGAAGGCGAAGTCAGCTATGTTACCTTTGGTGAGGTGCCATCCGTGATGTACTCCCGAGTCCCTGCTAACAAAGCCTGCAGTCTTGTTCCCTCGTCACTTGACCCCCCAGCGTCGCTATGAGAACATCTCCCACATCCAGACTTTCCGTGATTACTTCCACTATCACATCAAAGCCTCCAAGGTAAAGTGCCCACGGGCTCCTTCCTAAACACTGGCTGACTAATCACGAACCTCAGGCCTACATCCACACCCGTATGAGGAAGCGGACAGCAGACTTCCTGCAAGGTATATCTCACCGCTCACATATATACTTGATAAATGCTAACGTTCATCAGTTCTTAACCGAGCCAGACCTGAGAATGAGGACCGGGAACGTAAGACGGCCAGTGGTCGTACTTTCCGAGTGCAGGCTTAGACCTGTGACGGTGTTGATATTCGCTTGAGAGGTACCTTTCTGTATAAGCCAATCTGATCATTCCACACTACCCTACTTGTTGAACTTAACTCTTGTATAAGGTAGATTCCATGTGCCTGGTCCTTGTCGTGAGAGTAGAACCTCGCTGTTGTCCTTGGCTTTGCCCGACGCAGACAAACATGAACCACAGGACATGGAAATGCAGGCAAAGCTTGTGCCTTTACTATAATGTAGCACAAAGGCCATAGGGATATGCCTTGCTCTTTTGACTAGCTATCATCCTGCTCCAAGGTATCCAGTATGACCCGAACTCGTTGGACTTGTGCATAGCAGGAAGTCTCAATAGAAAATGTCATCCAAGGCACTCGGAAAAGGACAGCAAGGAAGGATCCATACCTAGCAAGCTATTTCACGTACGATGATACAAAGAGTTATCTAGCATATTGAGCTCTCTGTCGCCTGACACTTGCGATTTCTTTGAAGTACAAGAGTCCGTTCAAGTGGGAACAATCAGGCCGGGGAAAAACTGGGGGAAGAAGTAGAACAACTGTTTAACCCAACTTAGATAGTGTACACAATGATATCCATGCATGTTGTATATAGAATATAATGTCCCCACTGCCTGCCGTCTGCCTGTCCTCTACCTGTCACCTAGCCTGTCACCTAAACTGTGAAGTGCCAGGACTGTGACCAAAGGGAAGGAGCTGCCTACGCGCCATTCGCCGATTAGTTGGACCCGGACAGCCAGGATAGTACTTTCCTTCTATGAGTCGTAGACCTCAGAGTAAACATAGTCAATAATGTTTGCTTCTACGCTTCTATCCTTCTCTCTATCTCTGTTCTACACTTTGTTTACGTGATGGTTCCAGACGGAAAATGGGAGACGGCTCTCTCCAAGCTGGGTCTGAAACCCAAGCGCAAGATCTCGGATCCCATTCCTCAGGGCGATGTATTTAGCGTGAATGCATCACAGCTGTGTGTTATGAGCAAGCACTCTCGCGGTCTGCACGTGGTCCCTCATTATAGATCCCCAGCCAGCTCGACCTCAGACAACATGAATCCTCATACGCCCACCAGCTCGAGTTCCCTTTCGGGGTCCTACATTGACCACATGCCCGTGACCCCTTCCCCCTCCACCACCTTTGACTCCATCTCTGGATCCAGTTTGAACCCCGTTGCAATGGCGTCTCACATTGCCCAGTCTCGTCTCGCTACTCTTTTCTCAGACTCTGAAGATCGTATCGCTACTCATAAGAAATTGTCCAAGGACTGCCTGGATGCCCATCTCCAGGCCAGCATGACTATGATGGATGATGTTGTCGTCAAAGTCACGCCGAAGAACATCGTGAGTTCCAAGCTGACCCTTGAACATATCAGGGATGGGTTTTTCCAATATGCAGACTCGCTCGGGGACGAAGCTAAATTTCTGGAGCTGGAGACCACTGACTATTCCAAGCCACTGCCCGACAATGGGCCCATCACTTATCCAGCCAAGGCATTTGGCCTCCCGAAGAAGCGCCCTGGTGGTATGTTCATGGACGAGCAGGTCGAGTTGCTGCCGCCTCCATGGGGAAAGTCTGCGACCCCCAAGCCCTCTGTGCCTCAGCCAGACACCCCGCAGTACCACCCGAAGCAACAAACTGATGATCCCTACGCGGGCCTTGAGCCCAAGGTCATGAAGCAACAGACCGGCGGTTATTTCAACAATGACCCCAATGCCCTGCCTCGGAAGATACCTGACTACTCTGTTCGAACCAACTACTCCAGCTCTAGTAAGGAGCCAATGGCTCTGAAGCAGCAAGGGAGTGAGAACTTCATGAAGGAGCCAGCTGCCTCGCTGCAGCAGACAGCCAGTTACTCTCTTCCAACAAACGAATCGAACCTTAACAACGAGAAAAGGACCTTGAAGCAGCAGCCGAGCAGCTACTTCATGGATGAGCCGCAGCCCTCGCAGCAGGAGATCAGCCACTATTCCAGCTCAAGCACATACTCTGTTAGAGAACCAGATGCTCTGGATCAGCAGTTGAGCGATTGCTCTCTGCCAGCCGACGATTCCAAGGAACTTCCGACTGGCCCAACCAGCTCAACTCCTCTGGCCAAGTCCGCCATTGGCTCGAAGAAAGACCCATTTGAGGATTTCGACCCGGAGTTTATCAAAGCTTTGAACCTCTCTACTATTCTTCCAGCCAACAGAAGACTGCCATCGCATGGTGGGCCTCTAAACCCCACTGCTGACGACTTCGCGGTAAGTGAATAAAGCACAAGGATTGACTATCTCTCTTGCTCTCGAGCTTAACGCTAATGTCTTCTCTCTTCTAGCCTTCACTTCAGGGGTCCGGCCCCCATACCTACACCGTCAGCAGCGATGAATGGGTCATGATTCAGTCGACCCCTTCGCCTCTATCTCCCACAAAGGTTGTTACTCATGGAATAGACAATGTCGATGAAATGATTCATCGAGGAGTTGTTATGCGCATCTTTACCAAGCTTTACACCACGGCAAAGCTCATGCAAATGATTCTTCTGAGCTACGGCATTGAGGTATTTTTTGAGACCGTCCTCCTTCCCTGTGCCCTTCCCTCCCTCTCGCCTAGTCCCAATAACTAACAAATTTCTACCCATCTTAGGTCGATGACTCGCCAAATGGCTTGATGTTCTGGATCAGACGCAGTGAGGAACATGTGAGATGCCATGATATTGCCGTGTTGATTGAAATCGTTGAACACCTCTACTACGTGCTCTATGCAAGAGTCGTCATTGAACTCGCCAACATTGAACTCTGTTCTTCTGTCGAGGACGAAAACTCCCAGAGACGAGCCCATAGCCGAACCTTCCTCCTTCCATCGGCCGACCATCTTTACCGCATCGTACTTGCGTTCAAGGACGTGATGGACTCACGGGACATCTGCGCAATGCTTCAGAAAGACGTCGTCGAGCAATACCAGAGACAATACATAAATTTCGCGACTGAAATAAGTAATAAGAAAGGAGAGGCGCTCTATGATCGGTTCGGATATCGACGTTACGTGTTAAACATTGTCAGCAACCCAGAGGGTTCATATTGCATGAAGTGGAAGTCGCTTATCCCATTCTTTGATACCATCGCTCCAGGTGTCATCGTGCTATTGTCCGACAAGTATCGAACTCTGGACCCGGTCATTGTGCTCCCTGACGATATTCCCTACGACGAACTTCCTTTCATCAACCCAATCCAGCTGGGACCGGTCACCTGTGAAGAGGAAACCGTCAAGGATAACCGTCTGGCATCATTGGCAAAACTGAATCAGATTAGCATTGGAGAGCAACGTCTCCAGGATCCCTCGTACCGACCTTACTGGCTGGCAAAGGGGCAGAAGTGCATCTGCCCATCTACCTGTCGCTGTTCCGATGAATGTACCTGTGATGCCGCTCGTTGCTGCCCTTGTTCTGAGCGACATGTGCGACTCATGACAACCATGCGCCGTCACGACTACAGTGGAGCTGGCTTCATTACTCGAGTCAACACTGCTGCACGCATGCACTTTTATGGGTTGAGCTTCCTGAAGCACAACGTTACGGGAAAGGTCATCATGGATGAACTGCAGACTGCGTTTGATATGATCGAAATGCTGATCTGCAAGGAACGTCATGAGCCGGTCCCCCGAGCAGTCTTGCGAGCCGCATCCCGCGACTAAAGCTTGATCGCTTCGACCACCACGCTCGTATCATGATTTACGATTTACGATACGCGAAATGCAACTTTACGAGAGCTTTATGAGGGAAATGGAGAAACGGAAATATCGTCCATAAACGAAAGAGGTAAAAAGACAAAAAAAAAGGGGGACCCTCCTGGATTACGAGGGTAGTTCATAGGACAGACAAGTGGACAAATGCAAAGGGGTCATGTTATGAAAGGGCTTACGCCTGGTTTCCAACCTAGGCACAAGTATCCTAACCAGCTTCAATTAAATTGAAACAGTTTAACCCCATACCCTCGGTGCACTGTAAAATCTTTCCACACTTAGTTTACATGACTCTACGTCATCGATCAACGGTTACCGGCGCATTGTGATGTGTATTCAAAAATACATAGCAAGTTCCGCAGTGTCAACTGCCACGCTCAATCATGGTGCTTCTATATTTGTCTATTTCGATGGGTTGCACGACATTCGACATGGAAATTAGGGCTGCGGCTGTGAATTGCCGAATACAGTTTAGCGTGGAATATCACCGCGAGGGGACAACATTATTGCTTGGTCTTGCAAATAGTATTTAACTTCTAGGCTAGTACATTCCACGTATACTAGGACTAGGTTCTGCGCTGTATGAACTTCATAATTGTCTGGATTTCTAACATACACTAATATGCCACCTTCAGTGCCCGTGAACAGACGCCTGGGACCATTTGCCGCGTACTCGAATACCAGGCCCGTAGACATATAACACAAATGGGATTGGAATGAGAGCAGTTGCCACAAACCCAAGCAAGCTCGGTCCCCAGGGAACTCCCATGCAATGATACAAGATAGTAGCAAAAAGTGGAAACGTGCCACTGAAAATACAGCGCAGGAAGATATTGACGGCAACTGCACTTGCAGAGAACCAGGTGAAAGTGTCAACCAGATAATTAAGGGCCGACTAAAAGATGGCAAAAAATCCCAGTCTCGTTGAAGCCGCTCCAGTAATTGGAGAGAGCCGGAATATCTCCTTAGGACTTGTCTTGCCGAGTATAAACATGCCAGCAGCAAAAAAAGATCGAGCCGAGCATCATAGGTGGGAGACATGCCTTGGGTACAGCTTTTTTGGCATTTGCTTGGAACTGTTTGATATAGAATTTTGGATTTAGGAGATTGATAGTAGCTCCTAAGATCATGCCGGCTAGGATACCGAGGAACGGCAGGTTTCCTACGAGAGCGTTCCAGCCTTAAATTTCTTGAAATTCCACTGGGAATGAAGCAACGCTGAGATATTGAATTCCATACACGGAGTGCGTAGAGTGCGACGAAGAAGCAAATGGGTGTTACCAAGAGACGGAATAGCCGAAATAAGTATTTATCTGTCATGTCCTTAAACCTGTAATCGGTCTCTTTATGGTGGGCGTGTAGAGCCCTGTTTCCGGTTGTAATCCGTAGTCGGCGAGCCTTGTGAACCAGCAGGGCTGGAGGATACGTCTCGTCGAGGAATATAACATCCAATGCTAGCATCAGTACCTGGAGAATACCAGTGAATCTTGAAAGAGTTAGCAAAGCCCCGTAAAAAGGACCTTTGGCCTACTTACATACTCCGTCCATCTCCACCCAAGATAGCTATCAACAATAGTACCACCTACAATTGGACCTAAGACCGAACCACCAACCAGGGCCATCGCGTAGGCCACAATTGCGACGCACATTGCTGAGGGGACCAGATGTCGGCTAAACTGAAGGCTATTGAAGTTCCATTGGCAATCGTGGCTGCAGAGACGGATGGGATGTTCCCGGCTACAAGGGGTATGAAACAGAGGCAATTTTGAAAGGGCTAAATGTTCCATATCAGATCAATCTGTATAGTGGCCTGAAGCACGGTTCGAATTGATCCAGCAATTCCGGATGTGGAATTGGGCATAAGGCTTTCCTTCCAACCGCCCTACGTTCGATTTTCTTAGCATCATGATATGCCACATTTTCTCTTAAAATAGCCTTATAGCTGACATATAATAAGCAATATGAAGTATTTCAACGATCATTTGATTAGGTATTTGAACGCATGTTTGAAGGACTATTTGAAGGACCATTTAGACGGGTATCTTAATATACCTTGAATCGAGTAATGCACATCCTTTAATAATCGAGTACAGTATAATTTGTTAGGTTCTAATTCACATACTAGTTATTACTATCCACACAATATGCTTCCCACTCTGATTCGCACTATCACACTCTCGAGCGATTATCTTGCCGTGATCATAACACCCTCCACATAACATCAAACCTCTCCTGTGGTTCAATTTCCATCTCGCCTTGAAGAGTCTATCGAGTATGTCCTCAGTAGAAACGAGATGATTAGACCTAATCCTAGACAGTCTCCTATCTGAAGTCACGCTCATTGGTATATGGCTGTGTTGTCTGAATCCGTCAGTGAAGATTGAGTTGATCCCAGAGCAATTAAGTCTCTGCGAATGCTCCTGGGATGGTTAGAATGGCATCAAAGCAGTTGCACCGTCACTTAACGGTTGGATGCAAACCTAGGAATGGCCAAATACAGGAAACAACTATGTGGAACTGTATTGAAGTACCAAACATTCTCTTTTCACTTGTCAGGAGGTGTTTGCGAGCCATCTAATACCAACGTATGCGATATAAAGACACGTAATATATCTCTATCTGTGTATTCATTCAAACTCGTATAAGCCCTATGCTGGGTTAGATGCTCCGTATCCTCACAATAACTCGATTGGATGATCCAAACACGGATATCCTAAAGACTCTACTGCTCTCTAGCATATCGATGGCCTCTGCTATACGAAAATGCTCGCAATATATATTTTAGAGCAAAACTCAGCAGGACAATGGTAATAATCAGGGCTAGATGTTCTCATATAACGTTACGAGAAATACCACGTACGTATATCTAGACCTTGAAGAGTGACCCACATATGGAGACTATTGCTAGGTGTCGATCGTCAGAACTTTAGGAACTAGAATATGGGGTATATTTCTGATAGTAAATATAGTAATTTATTTAGTTATTTACTATAATTCCTATGATTAGTATTTGTTTTGATAGTATAGCAGATACGCGGTAGGAATGTCACGGCAAACCCCGATGATCAGAGATACTCCGTAGTGCAAGGAACAGTCGGCGGCGCAGACCAGTGAAATCTTGAGATACCTCGATCGGCCCCGGTGAGAGTGAGCACAAGCCCTTAGTCAGAACACCTGCAATTTTCGATTTCTCCCTCTTCATGACTTAACATATTCCTCTTCGCCGAGTCATGGTGACCAAGGCATCACCTTGGACGTCTATCAGCAAGTGGATCGCGAACATAAGCAACCCTCGGCATCCGAGCACGGCACGGCCATACCACGCGGCAGTGTGGCCCTCCTACGGCGTCACCACCCCGGTTCCTCAGCCGCAGGTCCGAAAATCGCCCTTTAGATTCGAGACCGGCTATGCCCTGTGTGCGAAGCGACCCCCACGGCCATTTCCCCCGCCGTTTCTGTCTCCACCGTCCACATCTTTCTCCGATCCCTTGACCACTCAACTGAGCCAGGATAAGAGATTATCCGTCAAGGGCGAGCTAGTCCGTGGCTTGAACAATGGAGACGATGCGATCCTTGTCTCGGAGAACTTCCTAGGCGTTGACGATGGCGTCGGCGCTTGGGCCACGAGGCCTCATGGCCATGCTGCGTGAGTGATCCCCTTCGTTTGTTGGATGAGCGCTAACTTTCTTCCAGCCTCTGGTCTAGACTCCTGTTACATTTCTGGTCCCTCGAGGTCGAGCGCAACGTCGATAACAGCTCCAGCTGCCTCGATCCGGTCGGATACCTGCAGTCTGCATACGAGGAGACTGTTCGCGCGACAACATCACCTACACAATGGCAAGGAACGACCACCTCAGCAACCGCTATTCTACACTGGACGAATGAAATGGATGGCACACAGAATCCACTACTGTACGTGACGAACCTGGGCGACTGCAAGATCCTCGTGATCCGACCAAGCGAGGAGAAAGTCCTCTTCCGAACCGCCGAGCAATGGCACTGGTTCGACTGTCCCATGCAGCTTGGAACCAACAGCGTTGATACACCGAGGAAAGATGCGGTTCTGTCGAAGGTTGCGCTACAAGAAAACGATATCGTCCTGGCCCTGTCCGACGGTGTCATGGATAACCTTTGGGAACACGAGGTCCTGAAAATCATCATCGACAGCATCGAGAAATGGAACCAGGGGCATGCTGTGCCCAAGGAGGTGGCTCGGAATCCTGGGTTGTCAAATGATTGCAATGTCTTCGTGGCTCGGGAGTTGCTCAATGCTGCTCTGGCCATTGCCCGGGATCCTTTCGCAGAAAGCCCGTTTATGGAGAAGGCCGTGGATGAGGGGCTGGCTATTGAAGGAGGTATGATCTAAACTCTGCTTCGCCGACATGTTTAGTCTCCTTTACTGACTCCAAACAGGCAAAATGGACGACATCTCCGTTGTGGTTGCATCCTGCAAGAAGCGAGTCGGATGAGATGCAGCCAGCGCTATCCAGGCACCTTTGTATATTACATCGCATCAGTCGGGCCCAAGTGATTATACCACACTCAATCGTGAGATCCGATCGATATCGAACTTCGAATATCCCGGATACTGGGTCTGGCCCCGATGCCATATCATCACGTCCCCGCCAGAGACATCTCCAGACAGCGCAATTTTCCGCGACCGCTTCCTAAAAAGAGGGCTGACGCACGTGCTGCAGTCATGATCGTCCCTCACTGAAGAGCTGGAGTTTTCAATCGCTAGTCTCTTCAGCGCCATGCCCTCGCCAAGATTGAGGCCCATCCAACCCCGATCGCCAGTTGATCTTGTCCATGGCCTGGCACCCAGAGAACCTCCACCCAGAAAAGAGAGCTGTACAGCGATGCCCACGAACACAGTGAAGGTGTGTCAGTCGAGCCGCCATCTGCTGGCGTACCGTTCACTCTGCTACTATCTGGTGAAACGGAAGTCCCATTCCCATGCACACTCGGGCATTTTACCATAGGCAAGAGCTGGCTCTCCTGTCCACTTGATGGTCATCATTTAGATCTGCCTTGGTCAATGTAGGCCTTAGTCTCTATTAGAACAAGAATAATACTTATGTCTTAATGTCTCTATAGTTATGTATCCACCCCATAATGTATTGCCCCCCCCAAGGCTCAAGTAAATAAACCATGAACATGAATGATAGGAAGTACATGGTACATCAATTTGGCGGCAATTTCCCCACTCAAACTAAGTACTGGATACTTTCTCAGCACAGACCACAACACCGCCTCGGTCGCCGCCCGGCAAAATGAAAAAAAGTTTCGGTCGACGCAGCAGCTCATGCTCGACACATCAAATCACCGATATCTTGACCTTCAACATTCACAATGAGGGCCAAACGTTCCAAGAAGTATCGCAAGCTTATGCACCAATATGAGCTCGCTTTCGGGTTCCGAGAGGCTTACCAGGTGCTGGGTATGCCGCTTTCAATGCTCTTCTCCCGATGTACAGTACTGACTTGCGCTTGAACAGTGGATTCGAACTTCCTCCGCGCCACAGACTCCTTCAAGATGGAGCTGATTCCCGCACTTGAGCGAACAGTCCAAGGCAAAGTCAAGCCTCGTTAGTTTCACCCAAACTCAAACCCAATCTCCAAAGAAGCATACCAACTAACATCTCACAGTATTGACAAAGTGCTCACTCGCCGCTATCATGGCCGCGCAACCCATCAACCCGAAAACAGAAAAGCCCTACAGACCTTTGTTCCTCCCACCACCCACAGAACTCCCACTCCGCCACTGCTCTCACAACGCGGACCACACTCCAATCGACGAGATCGAATGCCTCCTCTCCCTGCTGTCACCTAACGCAGACTCAAAGAAGAACAAGGAGCACTACATCCTCGCAACCGCGGACCCAATCTTGAAGAAGAGAAACGCCAACGACGAGCAGCGGAAATACAAGCGCGAAGACGAGCGCAAAGAAGAAGAGGCCTTGCGCCGTTCTCGAGCTTTGCGTTCCCAAGCCCGCGCCATCCCCGGTGTGCCTATCATCTATGTGAAGCGCTCGGTCATGGTCCTCGAGCCTATGAGCAACCCCTCCGAGATGGTCCGTGATGGCGTGGAGCGAGGAAAGTTCCGCGCTGGTTTGGATGCTGATCCTATGCTCGGCAAGCGCAAGCGTGATGGAGAGGGTGAGGGCGAAGAGTCGGCAGAACCTAAGAAGAAGCGTGGTCCTAAGGTCAAGGGGCCGAACCCGCTTAGTATGAAGAAGCCAAAGAAGAGAAGTGATGCGCCTGGCCCGACACCGAAGAAGGAGAAGGCCAATGCGGATGCTGGCGATGTCTCTAAGGATGTGGATGCTATTGAGCAGCCGGGTGGTGATGAGTCTGCCGCTGCTAAGCCGAAGCGGAAGCGCCGTCACAATAAGAGTGGTCCTTGGCAAGAAGATCAGCTCCCTGATGAGCCAAATGAAGTGCCTGCCTCCATGGAGGTTGATGCTTGATTAGATCTTTACGGCCCAGACTCATGATGCTGGCTATCATTATGCATTTCATCTTTCTTTCATCCCAGGGCACGGCGTTCATCATGGATGGGTTATATCTAAAAGTCCAGCGGGTGTAGACTAGCTATGTACATCCAATATCATTTACCACTACATTGAGACCTCAGCATCCCCAATGCTTGTCATTCCATAGTCCAGTGAAACAAGTAACATAGTAGATCAAACGTTTGGTTATATGTACAGTTACATTTCCGGATATTGTACAAAGTATCCCTCCGGATATAATGAGAAGAGAGAAAAAGCCACGAACTGGATGCTCTCACAGAACGGCCATAAAAGCAAACCAAAACTCCGGTTCCAAGCATGATGCCATATAGTCACCCAAGCGCATTTATTGCTTCGCGCCAGCATTTGTGGTATTGGCGGCGGCAGCAGCGGCATTCGACGTACCCTGCTCAAGCTCTCTCTCCTTTGCCCAGATCTCTTCGACACGCTTGCGGTTGTCGCGAGCCTGGTCTCGGTTGCGCTTTGCGCGCTCGTAGCGCTCCCCGGAAAGACATTTGTTCACGTCGCGCTTGATATCGTTACAGCTTCCGATAGCTTTGTGGATGAATCCCTTGGCGTGGCATTCGTCGAGGGCAGTCATAATCTCCTCGCAGTCTGCGGTTTATCAATTAGTACATGCATTTCGGAATGAGACTTGACAATCTCTCGGGGCGTAGGTTCAACGTACTGACGTTATACGGAGTGTGCAAGTGAGAATGCATGATTGCGAAGGGTGTATGTTAATCAACGCAGGAAACAACAAATCTCGAGAAGCAATGAAGCAATGAAGCAATGTCAGAGAGCAATCGTACGATCAATCACCGACAAGCAAACGGCGTCTGCAAAATGCCCGGGCGGTAAGAAGATCGGTCTGGTTCTGCCGGGCGGACACTCTACACCGATAAAAAAATATCGGCGATAAAAAAAAGTTGAGATTGGAGGTGATCGGTTTTTCACTCAACGCTTTCATTATGTCTTCTATGATCACAACTACGGCGTGGGTGCGACGAGGTGTCGCTGCCCAGTTCCCTATCAAATATGAGATTGACGAGGCGGAAATGAACCGGATATCCAAGCTTGCGCGCATGCAGCTTGAGGATGCGAAGGAGGGTCTGAGCGCTGCTCAGGATGAGGCTATGGATGAGGATGGAAAGGATGGTGCTGCCGAAGCTACGGGTGATGATAGCGAAAAGAAGACCAAGGAGGGCGCCGATCCCAAGTGAGTCGTTCGAGTTTGAACCTCGAAACTTGACACGTGCTGATCGGTTTATAGTGAGGATGATGTTCTCAAGGAATTCGACATGGACCACTATGACAGCGATGAGAAGGATGAGGATGGAGAGAAAATCACCATGTTCGGCAATGTCCAATCGCTGGCCTACCACCAGCCCAACGAGGCCGACCCTTACCTCGTGATGCCCGAGGACGAGGATGACGAGGAACGCGAGGAACTGCAGATCATGCCCGTCGACAACCTTCTCTTGGCTGGAAAGGTGGAGGATGAAGTTGCGCATCTGGAAGTCTACGTCTACGAAGACCGCGCTGACAACCTCTACGTGCACCACGATATCATGCTTCCCGGCATCCCGCTCTGCCTGGAGTGGCTCGACATCCCCGTCGGCAAGAACCCCGACAACCGCACACAAGGAAACTTCGTCGCTGTCGGAACGATGGAGCCCGACATTGAGATCTGGGACCTGGACGTCGTGGACTGCATGTACCCCAACGCCATCCTCGGCCAGGGTGGCCAGGACGCCGAAAAGGCCAAGAAGAAGCAGAAGAAGAAGGTCAAGGCCAACGACGAGTACCACATCGACTCCGTCCTGGCGCTGGCCGCCAACCGGGCCCACCGCAACCTACTCGCCTCCGCCTCGGCCGACAAGACCGTCAAGCTCTGGGATCTCAACACCACAACCTGCGCCAAGTCCTACTCCCACCACAAGGACAAGGTCTGCTCCCTAGACTGGCACCCAACCGAGTCCACCATCCTCCTCAGCGGCAGCTACGACCGCACAGTAGTGGCAGCAGACATGCGCGCGCCAGATGCGCAAGCCCGCTGGGGCGTCGACGCCGACGTCGAGGGCGTCCGCTGGGACCCGCACGACCCTAACTTCTTCTACGTAACCACCGATGCCGGCATGGTCTACCGCTACGACATGCGCAACGTGCCCACCAGCCCAGCCGAGTCCAAGCCCGTCTGGTCCCTGCAAGCGCACGACTCCTCCGTCTCCTCCTTCGACATCAACCGCAACATCCCAGGCTTCCTAGTCACCGGCTCAACAGACAAGACTGTCAAGCTCTGGAACATCGAGAACGACCGCCCCAACATGGTCGTCTCGCGCAAGCTGGACGTCGGCAAGGTTTTCTCCACTGCCTTCGCGCCGGACCAGGAAGTCGGTTTCCGTATTGCTGTTGCTGGTAGCCAGGGTAACGTGCAGGTGTGGGATGCTTCGACTAACGGCGCTGTGCGTCGCGCGTTTGTGTCTCGTATGCCTGAGTTTGCTAATGAGGTTGAGGAGCGCATGGTTGGTATCACTGCTGATGATGAGGAGTCTGATGATGAGGGCGAGGAGAATGCTGATGAGGATGCCCCTCGTGGTGGTGATGGCTGGGAGTCGATGGATGAAGACTAGATGGACACTGATACCCGTGGATCATTCTGTTGTTTGTGTCAAAAAATAGATTTGTTAGGTTTTGCATGTTAATGACCACTTTTGTTATGAAGTATAACTACGAGAACAATGTCAATAGTCAGTGTGTTCAAATGTATCCTGTGAAGAACTCTGAATACAATTACAATGTGTTGATATTCCCGTACTTCCAAGGGTGTAGGACTGACATCCAGTAATCCATTCCATTCCAATGTCATCCTACCGGGGCATCCCATCCGTGCAGGGTAATTAAGTCCCACTCAATGTCCTCCCAAAAAACTACCCAGAAGAAGCCTTAGCATCTCTCGACTCCGTGGCCTTGCGCCGAGCACCTCGTAGAGCCTTGTGCATCAATCGCCACAGGTTTGGCGCAGATGATAGTACATTATTGCCTCTGACATGAGTTGGGGAGTACCGAGAATGACATCAGCCTCGACTGAGATGAGAGTCATTGAGTGATCATGAAAACAGCTGGATGGTAACATAAGGAGTGGAGGATGAAGAAGAGGCAAGAGATGTAAGGGAAAAGAAAATAAGTTAAGTGGGTAATTATAGATTTGACCAACTTATATAGACTCATATTCACATACTCCGTCGACTACAGATGAAATCGGGGAAGGAGATATAGGAAGAAAATTGATGAATTATGTACTGAGAAGCATGAGCTTTATCGCCCATGGACCAAGGACTGAGCAAACAACAAACAAGGCCTGAAACTCAAGGCAAGATATTGCCTGCCAAAGACTCCCTCGAATCCTCGTTCAAAGGCTTACTTAGAAACTACCTTTGGTATAATGCAATTGCGTCGTAGCCCGTTGCGATTGGCAGACCTATGAGATATGCGTGTTAGTGAAATTTGGAAATCGTGAGTCGGTCACAAGTGGCTATCTCATTCTTTTATTTGGTTTCATACCCTGTTATAGCGAAAAATTGCCTTGAAAAGTATGTATTTGCTTCAGCTTGTCATTATTATTCTAAAAGAACACGCAACTTCTATGTTCATGTCAATCCCGAGAACGCCATTCCTTATGCTAGACGGTGACTCAAAGAGCCTCCTGGGCATGGACATGAGTCGTCAAATCCAACAATCGGTTCGAGTATCCCCATTCGTTGTCATACCAAGCCATGATCTTGAAGAACTGCAACAGAGTCAGTAAAGAACGATATCTAGCACGCATTGGCAAGAGCTTACCTGAGGGTTCAACTCCATGCATGAAGGAGCATCGATAATAGCACTGTAGGGACTGCCATTGTAGTCGCTGCTGACAAGCTCGTCATCCGCAACCTTGAGAACGCCGGCCATATCCATCTTGGAAGCTCGTCGGAAGGCAGAGATAACCTCGGCCAGCGAGGTTGGCTTCTCGGTACTGATTGTCAAGTCGATCATTGAGACGTTGGGGCTGGAATTTGTCACGTTAGATAAATTTCTTAGGTCTAGATTCATGCGGAGAATATCTCACGTTGGGACACGGATGGAGACACCAGTCACCTTGCCCTTCAGCCCGGGGAGAACAGCAGCGACGGCCTTGGCTGCACCGGTTGTTGTGGGAATAATGTTGTTGAAGACACCGCGGCCTGGTATATAATATTAGCCTAATGCTTTTCCATTAAGGAATCCTGAATCCCCTACCCAGTCGTTTGTTCTTCTTGCTATAACCATCCAGAACCTGCTGCGACCTCGTAGCAGCATGGATAGTAGTCAAGAATCCCTGTGTAATACCAAAGGAGCTATCAAGCACCTTCAGAACAGGAGTAACGCAGTTGGTAGTGCAGCTAGCATTCGAAACAACGCGGCAGTCCTCGGTAGGAGTATAAGAGTCCTCGTTAACACCGTAGACAAAAGTAGGCGAGTCCGAGCTAGGAGCGGAGATGAGAACACGCTTCGCCTGGCCGTGGGTGATGTGATCGAGGGCGAGATCGCGCTTGGTGAATTTGCCTGTGCATTCGAGGACGTAGTCGACTCCCAGGGCAGCCCAGTTGAGTTTCTTCAGGTCACGTTCGGATGTGAGGGCGATATGCTTGCCATTGATTGTGATAAGGTTGTCGGAGAGCGTGTGGATGGGGGTCTTTTCATCTAGGTCACCCATCGACGAGTCGTAGCGGACTAGGTAGATGAGGTCTTCGACGGTGACGCATGTGTGGTTGATTGCGACAACTTGGATGTCGGAGCGGACTAGGGCTGCGCGGAGGACGTTGCGGCCTGTATACTTGGTTAGTATGGGGCGCTTTAGGGTTTGACATAGTTAATAGTTCACTGACCGATACGACCGAAGCCGTTGATTCCAACCTTGCAGGTTGAAGTTGCCTGCACATGGCTATGGGAAGCGTCGTCGATTGAAGGAGCCATATGGTAGGGTTACAAAGGTATATAGTGAAATAGAAGAACCAAAAATGGGTGGATGCTTTGTTCTGCTTGATAGAAGCTTAAACTATTTCTCCCAAAGCAAGCCCTGAATCGAGGACCAATATCTATAAGTATAGTTCCAGCCTCAACCGACTCCATTGAATCCCCCACTGTGTCAACCCGGAGCCACCCGTCTCACGGATAATGAATCGGCTTCCAATGTGTCCCGCCTACTTGATAGCGAGGTATTTGATCCATTTCCTTGACACTCAGCCACCTAGAACGAACCGTGTCTCCGGCGACCCTGCCGTCATCGGATACCAGAGCCATGTTGCCAGGAGACAGCCAATAAAAATGAGGCTTTCCGCCGAAAATCCCACGTCCACGATCCGAGGGTAGCGGAGATGGCCAAGTCCGTGACGCAAGGGCCTAAGAACAGGTTTGCCGTGTTTTTGTTGGGGCTTTGACTCTGGGGTAAAGTACCGATAGACGGAGGAATGTCGTTCAATTGCTATTCGCGGTCGGGGTTGACTATATTTGCACGAAAAGAGATTCAGCCAATTATGACTGTCCATTGTCCTTTTTTCCAAGCTATCATTATAACGCCGAAGATGTGGAGATCCATGCTGGGCAATTGCTGTTTTCTGATTTGCGGGTGAGGCCGGCATTCTCGTCCTCCGCATCGGCATTCCGATGGGCGTTGGAGATACGCTTCCGATTGCGCCGAACTATGACCAACCGATATTTTGTATTGGTTTACTGCAACGAGTTTTCCGATTTTTCGCGGATTCATCACTCTGAGCCGAGAAAAGCGGGAAAATAGGCGTGGGGATGGGATCCGGTCATTTACTTCGGTAGTGGGCTTCAAACTATCTTTGGTTCTTCCCGAGGGACATACTCCGGTTGTTTTACGTAGATCGCTCTGACGAAGGCCGGGAGAAACATGCCGGCAAACAGGTGTCTATGACTATAATTCCCTAACATAGTATCTAACCAGCAAACATTTCCTCGGCATAGATTCAAACCCTCAGGCGCTAATACGAAATACCACAACTATTCTGAGGTACCCTCAGACATTTTCTTTCATCTCCACCGAGCAAGAGTCACCCTTTCCCTTGTTTCGAGCAATCAACCCTGCTGGGCTAATCTCACCCTGGGGCAAATGACGCGCCATTTCCAAGTTCCGGTTCATGGTCTCAGGGTAGAAGAAGTATACCTGTACAGGAATGCATGCCGACAGAACTGCATACATGATGTAGTACTGGTATCCGATCGTGTCTAGAGCCACAGGGGTTATCATAACCACGACGAAATTCCACAGCCAGTGGTTGGCGGTAGGGATTGCTGCCATAGCGACTCGCAGGCGTACTGGAGCGACCTCGGTGCAGTATAAGAAGTTTCCACCGAGGAAGCCGATTGGATAGAAGAGATTGAACAGGAAGATGAAGAAGGCCGACGCGATGGATTCGTGCTTATTGTCGGAGCCAAAACTAGTTGTCACGGCCATTGCTGCCATGCACATTGACATACGTGCTCCGATGACCATGAATACGGCCCGCCGTCCGAGACGGTCGATTGAGAAGAAGGCAATAAAGCAACATAGAAACTCCCATGTTAAGGCGCAGGCCGCGAGGATCTTCGATAGATCGGAACCTAGGTTCAGATTCTCTTGGAAGATTGTAGACGCATACACGGAAATGAGATTTCCACCGCACTTCTGTTGGAAAATTTGGACGACGCAGAGACAAATCGATACAGTAGGCGCTCATCATCGGTCTTAGAGAAAATCTCACGAAGCTCTCCTTTAGATTGCGCAGTGAGTTCGAACGATAGCTTAATGCCGGAGATCTCTGAATTGATTGCCTCATCATCGGGGTGGAAATCCTTGAGCGCAGCAAGGTTGATTTACACAATTCTGAATGCATATATTTGTGGGTGCTTTGCATTGTGCCGGAAGTCAAGACAAAATATTGATATGAATGAAATGGTTCAAATATAGTATCGGAATTATGAGTCTTAACGTTGTGGCTGAACGATCAAAATATATAGCGGTACCTTCAGGCTAATAATGAGCCTATTTTGGGATACCGAGCACTCAGCAAGATCTTTTGACCTCAAATGAGTTCAATTTCGTTCCAGTTTAATTTGTACAGATTCATTGCTCATTCCAATTCAAATCCCGGCCCATGATACGCTTACTTGCTGCCTGCAAGCTTCTGGATCTCAGCAACCACAGCATCAGTGACCTGCTTGGTAGTAGCATTGCCACCCAAATCGCGAGTGAGAACCCCCTGCTCGCAGACATTCTCAACGCAGTCCAAGAGCTTCTTGGAAGCGTCCTCCTCGCCGAGCCAGGCAAGCATCTCAGCCGCAGTCCAGAAGGTAGCCACAGGGTTAGAGATACCCATGCCAGTGATATCAAAAGCAGAACCGTGAATAGGCTCGAACATACTGGGATACTCCCGAGTAGGGTCGAGGTTCGAGGTGGGGGCAATACCAATGGAACCAGCCAGAGAGGCAGCAAGGTCGGACAGAATATCAGCGTGCTAAACGATTGTTAGCCTAGCCTACGGCTTGATTAACAATCCTGTTCACCACTTACCAGGTTGGTAGCCACAATAGTATCCAGACTCTCGGGCTTCAGAACCATGCGAGTGGTCATGGCATCAACAAGCATCTTGTCGACAGTAACGTCGGGGAAGTCAACAGCAACAGCCTTGGCGACCTCATCCCAGAGAACCATTCCGTTGCGCTGGGCATTGCTTTTAGTGACAACAGTCAAAAGCTTGCGAGGACGCTTCTGGGCAGTCTCAAAGGCAAAGCGCATAATTCTCTCCACACCGTGGCGGGAGAAGATCGAGACCTCAGTCGCGACCTCCCAAGGCTTGCCAGCGTGGGAGCGACCACCCTGACCGGCGTACTCTCCCTCACTGTTCTCGCGGATGATCACCCAGTCAAGGTCATTAGGACCGCACTTCCGCAGAGGAGACTCAGTGCCACGGAACACGCGGGTTGGACGCACATTGGCATACTGTTGGAAAGGCTGGCAGATGGCCAGACGGAGACCCCACAGAGAAATATGATCGGGGACGTCTGTTGGTACGTTAGATCTACATCTTCAATGCGATCGCAATATCTACTTACCAGGAGCGCCGACAGCGCCGAAGAAAATTGCGTCGTGCTTCTTGAGCTCTTCAAGCCCACCGTCGGGTACGTATTTGCCGGTCTTCTTGTAAGTTTCCGAGCTCCAGTCGTAATTCTTGAAGTCCAACTTGAAGGTCTTGAGAGTATCAGTCAAGGCATTGAGGGCGGTGATTCCAGCATCGATGACCTCTGGTCCAATTCCGTCGGCAGGAATGGATGCGATGCTGTAGGTCTTTTGGCCGGCAACTGAGGGAGACATGGTGACTTTTTTGATGTTCTTGTCCGGGCTTGGGTGCTGACAGGAATAGATGAAGTCAGCGCGTCCAGCGGATCTTAAAGGATTTTGATTCTTAGCCCAAAGAATTGAGTCTCCACATCAAATTTGGTCAGAACCTATCGCATGACCCCTTAGAGCTCATCCAACTTGATCGCGGGGTGCGGAGATTGACTTGTCCGGCTGTGTTGTGTCGGGGTTCCACCCCTTGGTGGATACATCGGAGAAAGACATGTCCGGCAAACCCTAACTCTGACCAGTATACACTCGGTCGGGAGGTGCCTTTTCAATTACGTGGAAAGCGTTGAAGAAAGACTAGGGGGTTGAACTGAGATGTGTGAATATACTAGGTACAAGAAAGCGAGTGCATGCAGGGATGAATCTACCCCACTCCAGCACTCAGCACAGTCAAGAATCCAAGTTAGAGTCGAGTAACAACACGTCTATCACAATGCCGACGTCCAAACATGGAATCGAGGCTACTATGGACTATCTTGTACCGTATATTGATCGCCATTTTGAAGCCCAGTCCAGCAATACAACCAAACGGCCATTCATTTTCGGGCTGACAGGCCTTCAAGGAAGCGGCAAATCAACATGGACCGACGCATTTGTGAAACGACTGAACGACAAGCACAATTACCACACCATAAACCTGTCACTCGATGATCTGTACCTCGACCACGATGACCTCGTCAATCTTCGCCTGCCAATCCACACAACAAACTTGTCCACACTCGCGGCCAACCTGGAACCCACGACATGGAACTTGCACGCTCTTTCTTTGAGAATCTGAACAGTGGCTCCGAAGTCCTCATTCCGTCATTTGACAAGAGCAAGTTCAATGGAGAAGGCGGAAGAGCACCAAAAGAGACGTGGCAACGCGTTCCAGCAGGAACACAGATTGATGTTGTTATATTTGAAGGGTGGTGTGTTGGGTTCAAGCCGCTGGATGAGGCTGCTATCCGACAGAAGTGGGAGGAAGGATTACGACAAGAAGCAATTGCCGGGTATCCGACCAAAACGTTGAAGGAGCATGCACTTCAGCACTTGCTAGGAGTAAATGAGAAGCTGCGTCAATACTGTGATCAATTTATGGGACCACAGCATTTGGACTTTGTTTTCCATTTAGATACATTGAGTTTGGTCAATGTGTATGAATGGAGAATGCAGCAGGAACACGCTCTTCTTGAGCGGACGGGCGAAAGTATGACGGATGAAGAAGTTGTTCGGTTTGTGAGAGGGTATATGCCGGCGTACGAGCTGTATCTGGATCAGATGTGGGATCAATTGCAACAAGGATTCTTCGATGAGAAAAGCAAGGGCCGGGTGCGAGTCTTTTTGGATCTGGATAGAGATATACAAGACTTTCTTGTGTACGTTTCGTAAATTGAAGAATATCCAATGAATTTAACTTAATTTACATGGTTTTCTCATCAAAGTATTCAAAATTAAAGGAAATTGTTATGGATCATCCAGGGGCCATCGGCAACACTCCATAAATCGTTCATGGACATGGATGGTGTCAATGGTAACGAATCTTGGCCTGCAAAACTCGGGTTGAAGACACCATAGTTGTCGGCTGTGCTGCCGAATATCAGTTCAGCTGACGACTGCCCGTTGAAGTTGTTTCCAGTGGGGTCCAGCACCTCACCCAAGTTGCCCATGTTGTCCGAGGGTGAAAAAATAGCCGAATCGTAATTTTCTGCGGGGCCAAGGCCCGCAGTCGAGCGAACAGAAGAATCGAAAGTTTGGATTCCCATAGAATCTGGACGTTCTTGATATGCTGCTGTCCGTAGATTCTGAGGACGGACTGGTGTGAGGTTTGTATCGCCTACCTCGTGAGTTCTGTCCTGAATTGGTGACAATTGGGACATTCTTCTGTCTAGGGAATTTGAGGTTGTAGCGGGCCTTTCCGGTCCGTTTGATGTTGGAGTAATCTTGAATTGTGCACCGTCGGATGTCTGTGTCAAGGCAGACTCCATGCCCTTGATCGCCTCGATACAGGTTTCAGGCCAGCTGCTACCGCGTAATGATAGGTTTTCCAAAATTGTGATCCCCATTCTAGCGTATTTGATAGCGGTAGGTGCGGCGAATTCTTCTTCCGATGCTGCATACATCAGAATCAGACATGCCATCCAAGTTGACCACGTAAAACATGGCCAGGAGAGCGGAGCTTCCGACGGAGAGGATACATGTTTTTTCAAAGCTGCAAGTATAGATCGCGATGATCCAATGCAAGTCTGCAATGCATTTTGATATTCGGCGCTGGGGCTTTCGGCGGCTAAAAGAGGCCGGTTTAGTGAGATAATAGCTTCGTGTCGTAGGATCATCAAAAGCAACCGGTGATAGGGCAGCAAGAGTACCTCATATTCGATGCCTGTATTTGCAGGCTCCACGAACGGGTTTGCATCATCGTAGACTTCGTTCCACCATTTCGAAAGTTCTCCAGAAACGTGGGCTGCCTCAACCTGACTGGCATGACTGTGCAGAATAGACTTGTTGCGAAGTTCCACAATCAGGCCTCTGACCCGTGCAAATTTTGCGAGATGACGCAGTAATCGCAGTCGCGGGTTATCCAAATTTCTCGGAACAGTAGAAGAATGCCGCTCAGTTCCCGGGTAGCAGACATCGATATCATCGTCCCGAATGCTGAGGGGGATTCCAAGAGCTTGGGAAAGATATCTCTCAAGCGAGTAGACCGACCAGAATAACCGACATCTGATGTCTACCTCTTCACTGCTAAAGCACGAAAATCGCGCTGGGCAGCGATGCAACCCAAGATGGAATGCAGTTCGAGTGATGACTCCCCCGACACGCGAAGCGGCGTTCAGGCGGAGAAGCGAAGTGAGAGCAAGCTGTGCAGTGAACGCGGCTTGCAGCAATGGAATTGTGGTAGGCTCTTCAAGCAGGCTTTGTACTTCATGCATTACATGAGGAATGGTGCGAAAGACCAAGACTGAAGGAATGGGACCCAGCTTGCATTCTGATGCTGTTGTTTGCCGATTATCACCGAGGGAGATTGACACAATAGATCGGAGAATCATCATATCCAACCGGCTAACCGAATCCACCCCTTTCTGGCTCGCTGTCTCCATAAGTTTCAAGACTGTCGGGGCATGGAGACACGGGAAAATCGGATGCCAATTCTCAAAATAGCTGCGCGTCCACTTGACAAGGTCATTGAAATCGAATGAAGCATTAGGCGCAAAATTTAGTTCTTCTCGAGTCCACAAATCATCGGAGTTGTGAACATTTCCCGCATTTCGCCGTAGACGGTCGTCTTCGCCTGGGACCGAGGTACGGTCACGGGCTCGTGTCTGGTCCAAGTCCGCTGAACGGCGCGCGAAAGCATTATAAACGTTCCTAATGAAGTGTATTCCACTAGAACTTCCAAGGAATGTAGCAGAACCATCGTTTTGGGACTCTCTCATGAACCCGATTTCACGAGGCGATGGGCCTGAAGTACCCGCAGCGGAAGTGCGCTTGCGTCTCTTAGCTGCACGAGATGGGTATGGCCATTCTGTTTCATTTTCTTCGAATCGAGTGCTTGCAGATGAAGGTGAAGCCATATTTCTTTATCACATTTTCCGAAGTTGAGGTATTTACCATGTCAAGTTTCCCAGCACCCGTTTATCCTGGGGATGGCCGGTGGGTTTTAGTCAGGCGTTACGTCAGCCCCCAAAATGGCATCTATAAACTCGCCTCGCTTCAACAAATATGTCTAATCGTCTCTATAATAACCTGCCAACATCTGTATCTTCTGTTTTGTCTTTTGTGGCCATCAAGATGCCTAAAATGCGCCCTTTCCGTATGTGCTGTTCCCTTTCAAAGCAGCACAGCCCTTCTCAACATCCGAAGGTTTGAGGAATTGAGGGTTCTGCCCATTTTTGTAAGCCAGTCCGATTAGTGTACTGTCTGTGAAGACGTTAGAAGCATGGATCTAGCAGAGAGCAATGGTAGACTTACCATCAGAGTTATACTGTGGCCATCCAAATTTGGTCAATCCCTCATATGGATCACTTGCGAAAGCTACCCAAGCTGAAGCCATGTAATGGGCAAACTCGTTCTCTTTGTGAGAATTTCTAACTCCACTGACATACTCAGCAGTTCCAAATAGCATGAGAAGATCAACTCCGTGGTAGGTGCCGCTGCCAGGGTAAAGACGCAGGTTGTCCCAGTCACCGAAGTAGTGGGACCGCCAAATCGGAACACCATTGGCAGCACGGCCTCTTGCGGAAGCTCCGCTAGGACAGGTAAATGCCGCGAGATTGTACTTGATCCATTGCTCATCGGTGAGCGAGACGTTTCCTCCGTATGCGCTGATGCGATAGTAGCCTGCCTCGTAGTTGTTGCTGTTGATAAGGTATGGCTGTAATATGTCAGCTTTTTCATCTGAGTTTTAAATTGACAAGGCCAATCTGGTGCTTACAAGGTGAGCGTATTTTCCAGCTTCAGTTCTCTCTGCGTAATTATCAAACACGGTCACTCCATCCACCGTGGGATGGAAAACAGGCTGTGGAAGTGCCGGCGAGGATGCTGCCGGGACCTTACCGGCAGCTTTGACCACATCAGTGAATGGCTTCTGGCGAACACACTTGACCACCTCGTCAGCATCACTGTCAGCGTCTCCACAGTCAAGAGCCTTAGAGACGATATAGAAGTAACTAGAGGATTCTTCGGCGGTATTAGGCACGAAACTGAGCGATGTTCCAGAGTGTGAGATGAGTCCAGCAACAATGGGATCCTCAGCCCAAGCATGTGCGTAATAGTCAACCGATGATCCACCGGCGGACTGGCCAAAGATAGAGATGCGTTCTGGGTCTCCACCGAAAGCAACAATATTGCGATGAACCCATTCGATTGCCATGCGTTGATCAAGCAAAGCGACATTCTGAGGCAGATTTGGTGCACCCGAAAATCCAAAGATGTTCAGTCGATAGCTGTCATTGATTAAGAATAGTGCAAAAGTGCAGAAGTAAGAAGACTTACTTAATGGTCACCACAATCACATCATGTTCATCTGCCAAAGCTTGTCCATCGTAATATGGGTTGTTTGCACCACCGTTGGTGAACCCTTTGGAACAACGTCAGTCACCGATAGTAGAGTACATTATGATAGCAAACACCTACGACCACCGTGGATCCAAAGAAGGACTGGCTTCGGGTTAGAAACTGTCGGCCGCGTCCACACATTCAGATAAAGACAGTCCTCGCTCTGGGAAGTCCCTAGTTCTTGTCTAAATGACTTCAAGATCCTGGGGCCCTGCGGAGTATATCCAGGATAATCTTTTGGGGTTGAGCCGGTGTTTGCAGGACAGTCACTAATGCTTGGTCAGATGCATTCTGTAGTTCATATTCGCGACTTGGTATACATACGGACTCTGCACGGAGCACAATTAGCCTTGGCGTCTGGTAAACAGGGGGAAATACATACATAGGAGGATGCCTCAATTGTTTCCTCAGAGTCAAAGGCGACAGGAGGCGCGAATCGGAGGTCCCCAGTTGGCGGAGAGGCATATGGAATACCCAAGTACTCGGATACTCCGGGTCTGCGAGGTGCAGCATGACCCTTGATTAACCCGCTACTAGTCCGCACAGAAGCACCAACGTGCTCTTCCGGATGAGATGAAAATTGCTGGGCCCAAGCTCCGGTGAGACAAGCTGCTAGCAAGATAGCAGAGCCAATTGGTTTCCAGAACCCAGTCATATCTCAAGGTTAATTCCGGTAAGGGAAATAAGAAAATATGGCTATCGCTGTGAAATGTTCGAGGTATATAAAGCTGCACACGTCGCTTGGAACTCAATTGATTGAGACCCCAATGTTCCACGGTCACTTGACTCCACAGCAAAGCTGCCGATCGCGGTTTGAGGTGGATAAATGGGGAGTTCACCGGCAATCACTGTTCATAAAGTGAGAAGTTTGGGGGCCATGAGCCAAAACATACAGAAATCCTGGCGACCAATGGGGAGATTTTACTGCCGATCTTCCACCATATGATGCGCTAATTAAGATACTCGAGTTGCATTAGATCCATTATGCCAAGAGTTGATTTGCCTAGTCCAAGGGTCTGGCAAGTTATAATCCTAGGTTCATTGAGAGACCTGCATCTTGGCCCACATGGATGTATACATCCCTGCAACGCGGCAACGCCGGTTTCCTAGGAACATCAGAGTACGATTCAATATATTATTACGTGGAAAACCGAGTAATGATAGAAGTTGCGCCCGGGCAGCCTTTTGTCGTAAGTTTGCAATCGTCTCCCTTTCCATCTTTATCCCACAGTGATGGACATCTTTAACGTGCATAGTGGTTTAAATTAAACCAAGCAAGAGTTATACATGTACTGTATTCCCCTCAATCCTTCCAACTTTAAACACAGACCCATAGTCCTCCAGTGTAACATAGGAAAATCCAGAGCTGGTCCCAGTCTAATCCCAATCCTTCAAGTATCTCAAAACCTAGCAAGTCCGCCCCGGCTCTGTAGATCAATTGTGTGATCGCGAACACATCGGATTTGGGGGCCACTATGCATTTTGAAGTATAAGAAAGATCATGCCGGTTTCTTTTTTTCAGACTTGCACTGCCCATCCGACTGTGCTATGGCCTACGAAATCGGATTGAGCACGCCTGAAGTGCCCAATCGAGGCTTTCCGCTGTGGCTATGTAGTGTCCTGATGGTGATCATAGCAGGAATCTTTGTGCTATTTAGACTGGCTATTCGATATTACCATAGTCGCTTAGGATCGGATGATTGGATGATTTTGGCATCGTTGGTGCGTTTATCCCCGTTCATTGTGATATGTATATCATAGCGTTGACGTTTGACAGGTTTGCTCCGTTCTCCTTACTGTTACTGAATGCTCAGGTGAGTCGTCTCTTTTAATTGTTTATCAACTATCTTCATGTCTCTAATTCAAAGTTAGCGGTGCACTATGGTTACGGAAAACATGCCAAAGACCTTTCGCAATATAATCGAGAAACCGCCCTCAAGTGGTTCTTCGGCGCACAAATCATGTACAAGATCGTCATCGCCATCAACAAACTCTCCTTCCTCTGTCTCTACCTCCGAATCTTCCCGCAGCGTATCTTCCGGTGGTCTTGCTATATCGGCTTTGGCTTAATAACCGCATGGGGTCTTGCATATCTCTTCGCTACCATCTTCCAATGCAAGCCCATAGCTTCATTTTGGGATATGGCCATCAAGAACCCGCAATGTCTGGATAAAAAGGGTCTATGGATGTCATATTCCCTCATCAATATCGGGTTTGACCTGGCAATCATTGCTTTGCCTATATATCCGTTGAGTCGACTGCGGCTACAGCGCATTAAGAAGATTGGCCTTCTGGTGGTTTTTGGAATGGGAGCATTGTGAGCAATCCTACCTACAAAAAGATTTTACTCAGAAGCTCACACATTCAGTGTATGCGTGACAACAATCGTTCGCACTACAACTCTCGTTCAATCAGCCGAGGACTCAGATCCAACCAGTAAGCCTTTCTCGCTTTCCACCGATGCGCAAATGATAAACTAATACCGACAGGCGGCCCAATTCCCGCAACGATTTGGAGCGTGATCGAAGCAAACACCGGTATCATATGCACATGTCTTCCGGTCTTTAGACGCCCACTACAATTCCTTTTTCCCAAATTCTTCGCCTCGCAGCCTAGTACTAATCATTACAATCCATATGTGGGACGCCACACTCCGCATCTCACCGCGTCCGAGCGCAATCTCAATGATACCCAAAATGGTGCTTGGCGGGATGATCATTCTTCTAAGCATGGGTTCGAAATGCATACCCCGGATGGTCACAGGAATAGTCATGGGATCACTAAGGTAACAGACATAAAAGTCTCGTATGACCAGAGGTCAGAGGAATTATCGCAGCCGACTCGATCGAGGGAATTTTGACCGCAATTTGATTCGATCTATATAATGAAAATTGATAAAAAGGATATCTGTAAATGTGTCCAACTAGATTGATGGCGGAGGATGGGACGACCAATTCGTGGGGCGTCACGTGCAAGGGAATATTTCCCGGAGGTTTCTAACTCCGGAGCTTTCAACCGTCATACATATCAGCCAAGGTCTATCAATGGCTTGGCTAGCCTGATATCTTGCGGGCATTCGGACGTTTCACTTCATTCTGCATGACATAGCCCGGTCATAACCAGATGGCGCAATTACGATCGAAGCGGGCTAAAGCGTCCGAGGCTACAATCCCAGGTGAGACTAAATAACTCCACATTAAAAACATAGCTTGACTGACTCGAACATACGCATTTAGAAGAAGAGAATCTTAATACTATTTCCTGTGAAGTATGCAGACAGCGGAAATGCAAAGTAGGTGGACGTTTGCATAAATTAAGAAGAAAAAAAAACGCTGACTGGCAAAGTGTGATCGAAAACTGTAAGATCAAAAATATTGATATCGAGAAGAGACATGGGTCATATCTAATTAGCATTGTCATCAAGGCCATTCTGTTCTCAATGTGCAAATGAACCGTCCAAATGTGTTTACCCAGAGAGTGGCAAGAGGTAAAATGCCCAGCTCACGCAGGTACCCATAGAAAACTGATCCGTTAATCCAGAGGCTTACCGCTGGGATATCTAAATCAACTTGAGCAGAGGTTAGCAGAAACCGAGTCCGCGCTGTACGGAGCTCTCATGGCCCTCCGATCAATGGGATCATCAACAGCCGTACAAGCCTCAGCAAAGACCGACACAGCGCCGAAACACAAAGCAGCACGCATGGAGGAGTGGTCCCAACTCCCACTCCGAGAGTGGCCGGACATGGAACGTTGGATGACGGTGATGTCAGACCAATTCAGCATCGAGCAGCCAAGAGAAAGGATTCCCGACACATCAAGGGGCGGTTACGCAATATCTGTGACTCCTATTGACGATGAAACGCGTACTTCGGGGGTATCTGATGAGCCGTATTCAGGGACCGTCCCGTATGGATGGCAGCCTGGGGGTAGCAGGATCAGTACAGGGAGTCCGTATGATGCTCATCAGCCGCGCCCGAGAACGATAGCTTCCCCGGCTTATTATGGGCACCAGGTTGCGGTGGAGCCGGATGTCCTGCCGTCTCCCTCAGCTGGGAGTACCCGGCATGAGGTTGATGATGCTGTCGGTGTTTCTGTTGTGGATCATGCAAATGCAGGAGCTGTTGTGGAGTCGCGATCGACGAGGGCTGAAGAGCTGTCACACAATAATCCTAGTCTGTATTTCTGAATCGATGTGTTCAAAATGTCCTGAGTAGAGGTGTGGAAAGCTTAAACGCTTTATCTGTAACGGGGCTGGGTCACGGGCCACTTTGGCCTCAGGTATCGTTAGTCAATTATCACGTGGAAGAGAAAGGAGACGTTTGTCACATTCATCACTCCTTAAGGGCATTGTTTTCAGCCCAAAGCGCCAGACTGACGCACTTTATGCAGAGTAGAGTGCAGGTAGAGTGCATGGTTCCTGTATAGGGCCCTGGCGGGGCTCGAGCGCATCACTCCACAAGCCTTTGTCCGGTGGAGTCCGAACAGATGAGGGTTTAATCACCACTGCTCCACTACGTCCACCGAGTCCACAACGCTCCGCCCAGATAACGATCCCACAGAATCTCATTTGGTCTCTCTTCAGCTGAAGGGCTTCAAGCAAACAAGCCCTTGTGAATTTCCTCAAGCGCCCCCTGATAGGATATGCGGCAGTCCCTGGATTCTCACCTACGGGCCACGGAGCTTTACTTTAAGCAATAAACGAGTCTAACTGGCTAGTGAAACGCCCGTGCCATCAGACTAGGGCCCGGACCTGCGTTTCGACTGTTTCAGCCAAATTCTACGCGGATGAATAATTGCATCACACAATGAGGGATGGTATTCACGTGGATTGGGAGATCCTTTAAGGGTCATCTGGCAGCGCAGTACACGTCAATTTTGAGTGTCCGACGACCATCACGCCTGACCAGGAGTGCCCCTCCATACCCAGGGACATCCAGGGTCGACCAAGTCTGGGCCTTGACTGTTCGGCCGGATGGCCACAGGGACTCAAAATTCAGAAGCAAATCAGCGTAGAGAAAAGACCGTAGAAAGACGCAAAGTGTAAAAGTCTGGATGAACCACTAGGAAGAACTCTGGGCCCCCAATCCGCGGTCTTGTTGGGCTCCATCGGTCCTCAGTTGGTTCTCGGAGTGGCCAAACATGTTAAGCGCCCGACCACCCCCNAAATTACTCTCATCCCGTAAGGGACCCCCTTCCTCGTCTTCCAACCTCATCATTTTTAGTTCCTTCATTCTCTCCTTTTCTGCTGGTCCTTGATATCCTGTGATCTGTGATCACTCCTGTCTTGACCTAGCGCCTGGTTGTGCTCTCCATTCCTTTTAGCCCACAAAGAGGCTACACTCTCCTCCCATTTTGCTGCGCAAAATTACGAGACCTCGACATTCATTTGAAACCACTCAGTTTCACTTCTGCACAGTTTCTGGAATAGAATTCCATATCTGACACCGGACATTCCTGGACTTGATCCTCCATTCCTTCCATCCCGCGATCGTCTACCACGCGAGACGGATCCGATCGCAAAGAGCGAACGCCCAACAATACGCGACATCTTAAAAATCCATTTTTGATTTGGACGATCATACCGTCACCGTCTTACCAACTCTTCTGAATCCATCATGTCGAACCTCACGAGAGCCTTCACCCGGCGCAATAAGCGCCCGGAAGTGTCCGCGCCCATGCCGTATCGCGGCGAAGGACATGTGCGACTGAATTCGGGAACCATCAAGCGTGGCAATATATCTGGCCCAGTCCAGCTGTTGTCTACGACCAACATGCTTGCCTACAATGCACCGGATCTTCACTCAGCCGTATCCACGTCTTCTTCGTCTTCGTTGCGCTCCGACTCCGACGCTGTTTCCCCGCAAAGCTACGCTTCGTCCATGACTTCACCAGACGTCTCTCCCTACGAGAGCTCCCCTGTTGAGGCGAACCCTATGGCGTCCTATTTCCCCAAGCGCTCAGCTACCGTGACCAGCCATCCGCGCTCCTCGACCTCGTCTTCCCAGTCAAATACGGACGCTCCGATGATTCCCAAGCGCGCTCTGTCCCACACCAAGCGTTCGCACCAGGAGCTCGCTCGCAAGCGTTCCGTCTCTAGGATGTCCCCGCCGCCTTTGAATGCCCCACGCAGCACCCCTGCTATCCGCGCGTCCCAGGACTTCTTCCAGCCCGAGCCGCATCCATTTAGCAAAGAGCTGGAGCAAGTCAACGAGGTGGCCGAAGAATTCGGTGGGTTGAATCTACTTGATGACGAAGAGCGCATTCTGTATGAGAAGGGGCTTAAGAAGTTCTCTGTCGAAGATTACCTCGTGGAGATTGAAGATCTCTACGGCAGCATTTTTGAGGACACACACGGATCCATGCACACTACCTCTTGGTTCTAACTTATCCCTAATACTGCCCCGCCCCGGTTGATCTGGGGTGATCGACACGAGATTGCAGCTTGCAAAGAACTGGATCTTCTTTGCTGAGTCTGCCGCGACGACCAACTATTATTCTCTCTCTGACGACTATTCCCCTTGTTTTGCACGATACCATGGGAGGACCCTTCTGTTCTGCGTTCGGTCTTTGTTCTATCCCTTTTGCTTCTTGCCATTGTTCTTTTTCTTCCCGTCCTGGACGGTCTCTTTATCTCGGTCATTCTTTGATCTGTGACTGGTGAGATTCGCATTTAGATTGTTTCAGATTCTATTCAAGTTTTCATACTTGTCAATAGAAACACGATAAAAGCTTGCATATGTGTTTCCTGTGCTGTAGTTTCAATGTCTTGCTTGTTTGCCGAGATATAAAGTAGTCTCACACACAATGTTAGACAATTCTAAAGCCATTGTATTGTCCTGAGAAACGCTCGCGCAACACCGTATACTTCCACGCGACTCGCGATGAGAACATGATGACATAAGCCAATATTGCCGAAAGAGGACTAGCGTAGGGCTCACCGACACGGTCACGGGTTCACGGGTGCTCCGCAGGCTCCACAGCGAATGAAGGAAAAAACTTCGCTTTTGCTTTGCTTCAGACCTGGCCATTTCGACCATTCGTTTTGTCTGCATCTGATTTTATCTCCTCCAAGCGACTGGAAAACCTCCAGAGGTGCAGACAGATGTTTTCCCTTTTTTCCGGCTTCAACCTGTAGCATAAACGTCAAGTTCGAGACGTGAGAGTGTCGTGTGCTTGGACCAGGCTTCGATAAGCTCAGTCCCGACATTGAATCAACGTCGACAGTGTTCTGTGTTTTGAGAGCAGAGCAGCAAATGTCGACTCATTCCTCTCTCTAGAATCTGTTATTGTTCAACACCCGGTCATGGTCTCCGTTGTCACGACTTCACGCAACCCGGCGCTACCGCCCAACCCTGCAGTTCCTCGAGCGAAAATGATCCCCAACTCCTCTCCCGTTCCTATTCTCAAAACCTCCAAGCCGGCTCGTGCGGTCGCCGGCACAAAACGCAAAATGAGCGACGCCGATCTCGCCCTCTCCCCCTCCTCATCCCAAGGCGATGACGTTACCGAAGAGCCCCCCAACAAGAAGCGACCACGCGTTCAATTCGACCAGGATGTGAAGCTGCACGATGCTGCTGGACCCGATACATCGTCGGAGAAGAGCCTGGCCTTCGTCCGGGAGGAAGTGCGCAGTGCTATCCACCGCCATGTCACGATGTCAGAAAGCGAAGGCTACGACCGAATCAAGGGAATCTTCACGGCCGACCCCAAACTACAGGGCGATGATTCCATGCTTGCGTACGACTTACCAACACATACGTCTTTGAAGAACCATCTCCTCGGTCTTCTCTCACATGTCGCTTCCTTGGATCGTTCATGCAGCGGACTCGTCCACGCTATCATCAACAGCGAGTGGCTTGGCCGTGATGAATCATATGTGAAGCTCTACATCCGGTTCATGGGCAATCTTGCTGCTGCACAAGGTACCTACCTTGGCCCTGTCTTGAAGATGCTCGCCACCAACTTGGGGACTGTCCCTCGAGGACTCGGTCGACTCCCTGGCTACGCTGTTGTTTCACCATCTGAAATCCACACTCGCGTCCACATGGCACTCCGCCATCTGCTACGACTCATCCCGGCTGCTAGTGGATCGCTCTCCCCAATTTTGTCTGCGCAGTTTCCCTTCGACTCAGATCCCGCTAGCGCTAACGTGGCTTACACTCGCAATCTTGTTCAAATTATCAATTACACCCCTGAACTGCAATCCGATATCCTGGCTCTGATCTTCGAGAAGCTTGTCAAGGTCGATGTACAGATTCAAGTGGATATGGAAGACTTCGAGGAGGAGGTTGGCGACGAGCTCATTCACGACATTGATGACGACGAAGTCGACGATGACAATGAGTCTGTTGCAAGCGACGATTCGGAAGAAGATGACACACAGGGTGCGAAGAAGATCAAAGACAACATCCTCAAGGTGGATGGAATGATTGATATTCTCTTTGAATACTTCGCTCCTCCTTTCACCTCTGGCAGCCTGGATGACAAGGAGAACACTTTGGACCTGCTCCTCAGCCACTTCCAGAGCATTATTCTTCCAACATACCGGTCACGACACACTCAGTTCCTCCTGTTCCATTTCTCCCAGACTTCCCCCGTGCTCGTCGATCGTTTCGCCTCGACCTTTGTGCAACTGATTTTCAACAGGCTGCAACCTGGTATTCTGCGCCAGTCAGCAGCCGCATACCTTGCTAGCTTTGTCGCTCGTGGTGCTCACATTTCTGGCGATGTGGTTCGCGACGTTTTCGACCTGCTTCTCACCCATCTAAATAGTCTGCGCATGGATTACGAAGTGAGCTGCCGCGGCCCTGATCTCCGTCGTTACGGACCCTTCTACTCCACCGCTCAAGCCCTGCTGTACATCTTCTGCTTCCGCTGGCGTGACCTGACAACCGCTGCCGTTGATGGCGACACTGCAGACCAAGTGGACGAACTCGAGCCAGGCCAGATCCAATTCCCTCCCAACATCAAAGAATTCCTCCACAAGTCCATCTATTCGCGTCTGAACCCTTTGAAGGTGTGCTGTCCAGCCATCGTCTCCGAGTTCGCACGCATCGCCCACCACTTCCAATTTCTTTACGTCTACCCCCTCCTCGAGACCAACAAGCGCATCCGCATCACAGCCTTCCGAAGCATCTCCACTCTCGCCGACTCCCGCTTCAGCCAAGTCGGTCGTGAGATCCGCGCCGGCGATAACAGCGGCTACCAACTTGACGCATACTTCCCCTTCGACCCATACCAGCTCCCCCGCAGCCGACGCTGGCTGGAAGGCGACTACGTCGAATGGCGCGGTATTCCCGGTCTGGATGATGCCAATGACTCAGACAGCGGTGCCGACGAGGAATCCGATGAAGACGGCGAAGACGCAACTGAGACAGACGAGGACTGAACCGGTTCAATCTCCGCATGTCCTATTACCTTGCCGAAGAAATAATCACTTTGTGATCTTGATATTTGATTTGAATTTTTGTTACTTGAGCGCGGCGTCCGGATTTCCAACCCATTTCTGTGATTTGTTTTTGTTATTTTTCGCCACGCAAAAAAAAGTTCTGATACCATGTTTCTCTCTTATGACTGATGACATTGTGCTTCATAACGGAACTGTTTCGTGGGACTCTTTGAGTTTTCAATCGCATATGTACTACTACACTGTAGATCTTTTCTACCTAGTTGCTCAAAAAAATGGGAAATTATTACATTCAATCCTTTTCCTTTATGTCTATGTCTGCTGGTTCGGCCGTAGCAGTTGACAAACTCGGCCAATGTTACAGATATCAAGTATATTTTGATTCCCCACGAGATATTGAATCAGTATAAGCCTTCTGTCCCAAATGTATTCAACCCTCATTCTAACACCCGGTGGATCCACATAAACTCCGCCAGTCTTTGACCAAAAAAAAAAAAAAAAGAAAAAAGAGGAACAATCCGAAGCAACCATAATCATGGGGTTCGCAAGCTTGCACGCGACACCTGTCTAGAGCGAGCAAGCCCATTCTTGCGGATATATCCGTATGACTGTTCAAGTCTCTGCAGCCACGAATGTGCCATTCTTCTCTGGCACGAACGCCGATGGTATCTTCGCATTTCGATCCACATCTGACGAAGGATCAAATGCCACCGGATGATGATTCTCCGGCACACCCATTCTGGAGGAGTAATTATAGAGAATGAAGAATATGCATGCTAAGATGAAGATGGTCGGGATTGAGAATTTGTGGAATTGGGAGAGATGCTTTGAGGACATGACTTCTGTCTCTAGCTGTGAGGGAGAGGGAGTTCAGGGGGAGAAAGCACAGTACATAGAAGACGGAGCTTTTCACCGGGCTTAGCACACTGCCAAGGAGCTACTGTGAGTTGGCTGTTGTAAGCTGCCTAGGCTGCTGTTTATAGACTCTGTGTTGTTTGCTCTTCAGATAGGAACATGGCATCCAGTCAAGAGGCTTGCTCTCTCGGTAAAATCTCAGTTGGGTTTATGGCGCGGCGGCTAGACTGGAATAAGCTAAAGGGACTTGGCTCTCATAAGCCTATGCAATATGTCTTCTATAGGCGACTTCGGGTATTTCATGGCCAATGTACACATTGTAGTTATGGAATGTTGATGGAGTGGAATTCGGATATGACGTTCAGCTGTAGACATACATTTTGTTGGTATTGGGCGTGGAACGTGGGATAATTGATGGCAGTTGAAAAAGGTAAGCCGTTGTATGGAGGTCGTACGGACATAAATTTGTGTCGGGGCATCTTACGAGTGTAGTGAATCATATATTGTGACACAATCTGTACTTATGAAATAACCTTCCACATATGTCGCCACTCAAAAATGAACCTTTCTACGGTTTAACCGTTTTCAACGCAGCCTGTGTATTCTAAATCATCCCAGTCAACATGAGAGTGATATCAAGTCCACGCGTAACTCTGATCCACAACCTCTCAGATTTCTACAGCTGCGTGACTGGCAAGATGGAAAAACCTATGAGAACTACGGTCACTAGGTCTAATACATGACTGTATGTTGAGAGGGTGTGCCGATCTCCGGCTAGAACAGACGACGAACCACTCTATAATCTAAAAACCTCGAGCGAGATCACATTCACTAGAACTCAAAAAATTAAACTTGTGCCGTTTTCAGTGTTGTTGAAGGACTAGACTAGACTGAGCTTAAACCCGCCAACGTTTAACTAAATCGGAGAAATTTTTCCACATTGAGATAGGAATATTAAATTTGACCAGTCTAGACCTCTAGAAACTATAACTATGAAGTTGACACTTCCTATACTAGTAACCCACAACAAGTCAAATATTTAAGTCTTTGGAATGAATAATCTTGGCTTATTCCATCACTTTCTTTCTGACCATATACGAGGTCATGAGAGCGGCTGTGGCTTAATTCAATTTTAATTTGGGAGCGGGTACAAATTCAGTCAATAGCCTCGTACTACTTCACCAATATTCAACCTATCTTAGGCCACTTCCACTTTTTTGTGATTAACATATCAGTTTTAACTTAGCTGTAACCATCACAATGGCCACTCCCACTAGCTTCGGAAGGCTTCCTAAAGCCGAGCGTTTTCGGTTAATCCAATGTGCAAAGCTCGCGGAATTTGCCTATGATTTAGCAAACCCAAAGCCACGAATTGGTGAGGTTCTCAGGGACTTCCAATCACCTCAAGTTATAAAGTTCTTCAGATTTCATTCGAGATCATGGTTCACCTCTAAGGCGGAAAATCAATGGATGCCGTTTCGGTCTCACGCATATGTTTGTCGCTTCACGCATGGCAGCTGCACCAAAAATAACCAGTGCCAAGATGTGACACCAAAGAACAAAATAGTTGTTGCCTTTCGGGGAACTTGGAATAATTTGAATGGTACCACAGGGGTGCGACCTGATCCATCGGGTAAGTAGAGTTCGCCCTGTCTACACTAGGTGCCTAAAGTACTCATGAGCTAAGTCGTTTGCTTCTTTAATTCGAAGGTTCCTTGCCAGTACGGGTCATTCAGTGGACAATTATCAAACTCTACAATCTGTTCCAGAAACTTCCTCGTGCAGATAATATCGGATGGTCTGACTTCTACTACAATTCCTTTGTGATAAGACTCCCCTATACTGAGGGCAAAGTCTACAAGTGGTATAGCTACTGGGGTGCAGTCATGCTTGAGATGACCCGGAGGTTGTGGCACTTTTCTCCGCCTCGAATTGTGGCATCATGGTTGATATCCAGACCTAACAACAAGCTTCTCAAGGACCGGGATTGTGGTGATGTTCATCTTGGCTTCTGGTCTTTATGGGCTTCTCCGGAAGGGTTCTCTGGAGATTATCATGACCGTATTACGTCCGAAGGCACCAGAAAGGAAAGAGGTGTGCTGGAGGAAGTCATGGATTTACTCCAAGATATCAAAGAAGAGGAGACAGAAGTTTGGATAGTTGGACATTCTCTGGGAGGGGCAGTATCATGGTGAGATAAAAAATTCCTGTCTTCTTTTAGAAGCTCTGCATGAAGACTAATAGTAGCTCGCAGTTTTGCGGCTCTGGATATCGCAAGGGCATTGGAGAATCAAGTTTCCAATCTTAAGAACAAGAAGATAACCCTCCACCATGTTACAGTGGGCGCACCACCAATCGGAACAGAAAGGTTTGCAACCTACTTCAATCGCGAGTTAGGAAAGCGAGGCCATAGCTCATGGGCTATTGCACACGATCGTGACTTGATACCAGTATGCTTTGATTGGTGTAGATCGACGAGACCACTAACACTGTTGAAATGGTGGAATGACTGGGCCACGGTAGGAACCAAGGTAAGTATTCAGCTGCTAAATGAGGTTCCTTCAATTATGGCAGAACAGTCATATTTGGGACTCGTGAAGAAGAAACTTCAACCGGTCCTCGGGACAATCCTGACGGGATCGTCCAGAGCAATCTTTGTCATTGCGTTCAGTCCTATTCTTCTATTCATGTGTGTTTCGAACGTGTTTTGCTTCCTCGGAAGCACAATCTGGTATTATTGTTCTGGAGACAAACTTGCGAAAATACAGAACCCGGCAGAACCTTGCCATAACCCACGATCTTCGGCTGTTCACGAGCTTACGGACGGAGTGGGCTTGGAGTACCACAGCTTGAAAACATATATCAAGCTCATGGAGATGAGTACTCCGAAGTTCATTGAGAACACCCCAGTGGAAAGGGACGCCCCGGGAAGTGCGTGAAAATACAAAAGGTGATGGAACAAAATGATAGGGCTGAGGAGACGCACATACTACAGGACATCCAGAAGCACGGCTCTTCGGCTTCTGCGTCAATGATATTTGTAGCTACATTTACGTAGCTACCTATCCATCTTTGGGTCGCTGTATTGTTATGCTTAGCACTACTGATAGCCCGCAACTAGCTATCGAACGACTGCGTGTATTTATTAGGCTCCAGGATGAAGTATTACTTTTCTGTAGTATTAAATTCAAAATTCCCTTTCGAATATGGCCAATAAATGGCCTTTAATTAAAAAGGATTGGAAGGGACCTGTGCATAGGACCCCACAAGTTATTCTGCCTATTCGTACCTAGAGATCTACTCAGGTTGAAGGCGGTTTCGCATTGAAATAAGAGACATGATATTCCGTAACTTTCCTGATGCCATTTGCATTTAGATCCTGGGCTTCGCCGACCTGGCCAGACGGGAGGATTTGGCCCGTGCTATCCTCCGAGGGGCGGTTTTGGGTATCGTTGATTTGGTTCATACTGACGCTGCCCTTGGTATCAAGGTACGTGGTCCAGTTTTGAGACCGGGAGGTGGGGAGTTCGGAGCTCTTGACAGCCGAGCTTCCATAGCTGTCGACCCCATGATCTATGGAAAAAAAGGAGGGAAAGAGCTTCGCAAGTGGCGTCCACATCATTGGCAGGCAGGCACAGGTGATTGCCACGTTTTCTTCGGTTACCGTCCATACAGACGAGGCGAGGTCGTCTGGAGAGGTATCTCGTCAGTGCGTGAGCAAGAGGACCCCGGAGGGCCTATGAGGACGCTTACAGGTAGTGTCGGGACTGGTGGACGAGAAGTTCAGGGTCTGCATCCGGATAATGCTTGTAACGGCGACACTTTGAAATTACGGGTCAGTCATGAGTTTACGCCTTCGGCTGCGGCGAGGTATTTAGGACTCACAAGGCGCCGAGGGCAAACACAATCATCAGGGCGATTTTCCGCTTCAACATTATCTTCGTTTTATAGAGCGGATACATCGGCAGCGCCAATATTATGAAGTCGGTAGCAATCGAGAAGCCGGCGTTGGCGTACCAGTTGGTGGTTATATCAATGCATGATCCTGGAATGGTCTTGTCCCAGGCTCGGGACACTGGTGTGCATTGAAATACGGAGGCGAAGAAGGCGGCCACCATGTAGGAAGTGATGATAACCAAAAGCGCATGACAGGTGATGCGGAACCAACGCTGGATAAAAATGCGCAGATACAGCAACAGGATGGACATCTTTGTCATGTTCATGGTGAGCTTGTAGAAAGCTTGACTAACGAAGAAGAGCTGGCACGACTGGAAGTTAGCAGCCCATACGGATCAAAAAGGCTAGGGATCTGTAGCCATAGTGTGGGGCTGGAGGACTGCAGCGAGGACTATTGCCGCCGTACCTTCAGGGTCATTCGCCTATGCGGTACTGTGAGATTCGCGATGTGTTGGCCAAAGCCATAGGCACAGGACGCCAGCATCAAGGCCATGACGATAACGGCAAACACCTGTTGATAGGAGTGTTAGGTCTGCATGAGGCAGCCAATCTCGCGCATGAAGATCTTACGGAAGATGCCAAAATGCTCCAATCGTCCCAGCCCAGGTCCGACTTGGACTTCGCTCGGGACCACAGGCGGGTCGCCACAAAGGCCGGTGTGGTGACAAGGAAGACGATACACGGCACTTGGATCTCCAAAGCCCTGCTTGGTCCTGGAGTGTTTCCCGACATAGCAAATTGCTAGAGGTCGCCTGGAGGTAGGTAGTATGGTCTTGGGAAACCGATTGAGGCGAAGGTCGATACATGTGTACTAACCTCAAGGCCGTGCCAGTGGGGATGTAGCCTACATCCCTGCACCTCCCTCTTCCCTGTAAAGGTATATTACCGGCGGAATAGCACGTTATGCCGCATAGTTACGCCGACATTGACAAGGGTCATATTAGCGGCAGTTTCCGCCCTCTGGACATCGAGTGACATCGCGCGGCCTGACCGGAGCATTCACCCGTTACATCCGAGACCCTCATAAGAGCTAAAGGGCTAGACAGTTGTTTTTCTTTTATTTTTGTTGACGAGGCCGCAAGATGTACTCCGTATACGTGATTAATCTCACGTTGCATGGCGTTAAAGGCGCTAGTTTGGGAATTGTTGGGGGCCAAATTGACCGATGGTTGTGGACAATCGTATTCACTCCTTCCACCAGTAGACTAGTGCATAGTCGATTGATGCCAATCCAGTACATGTACACACCGGGCCGCTGACAATAATATTGTTCAGATATTGTCAACTGGGAAGGATTTAGCTGTTAGATTGCGGCCTGAATCCCTGTCATGAACTGGCCACTACTCCGCACAGCACCCCCCACTCCACGGTGCCTGACTACACCAAGTTTGTGTTAGTGAAATTGCAGTTGATTAAAAGGCCCCTGTCCCGGTGGCGTCGATAAGCGAAAGAGGAAAGGCAGTAGGCGGCCTTTAGGTAACTACACATAGGTAGCAACGCGGAATATGTGCCCCTGACTCGGGTGATACCCTGTAATCCACTTTTATTTTACACTAAAATAATTGCTCAGCTGGTACATATTTATTTGCATCAGGAGGCGAACGGTCAAGTCTGTATTTCTCTCATACGATTGATCGAGAGCCACCGTGCTCCTTAAACGGTAGTCACTGAGAGAACGTGCTTTTGCGAGTAACCCACATGATGAAGTTCTTCTCCGTCTTCAGTGCCTGGTCAGCGATACTGTCGTGTACGGCTGTCGTCTCCGCACAGTCCGACCCCGACTCAATTGGCACCATCTACGATGGCCATGTGCCAGCCGATCTATACGGATCCAATTACACCTACCCTTGGCAGGTGAAGCTGTTCAACTTCTCCAATCAGCGCCAGAATCTTACGATGGCATTTATGGACATACCGGCAAGGAACCATCACAAGAATAAGAAGACAGCGGTCTTGCTGCACGGCGGGAACTTCTGCGGTGTTACATGGTCCGATACGGCGCGCCACATGTCGGCCGCCGGCTACCGAGTGATCCTGCCCGACGACATCGGCTTCTGCAAATCGAGCAAGCCCCAAGGCTATTCTTACAATGTACATCAGCAGGCGTTGAACATCAACAGCCTGCTCACTGCGCTAGGCATTGATCAAGTCACCGTAATCGGCCATTCGATGGGTGGTATGATCGCCGCCCGCTACGGCCTCATGTACCCGACCAAGGTTCAGCAGCTTATCCTCGTCGATCCCTTGGGCCTGGAGGACTGGGTGGCCAAAGGCGTGCCCTATTTATCAATTGACGCAACGTACGAGAGCCAGGTTGTGCAGAACTTCACCACTCTCAAGCAGTATGAGCAGGTCAGCTACTTCCACAATGCGACATGGAAGCCTGCGTATGATACCTGGGTCCACATGCTAGCCAACATCTATTCCAGCAACTATGGCTCCGACTATGCGTATGTGATGGCCCTCGTCACCGATGCCTTACTCTCCCAGCCTGTAATCTACCAGCTGCCTCTCCTGCAGACACGTACCTACCTCATGGTAGGAGAGAACGACGTTACGGCGCTTGGCAAAGCATGGTCATCCCCCGTCGTCGCTGCGAAGCTGGGCCATTACGATGAACTCGGTCCTGCTGCTGCAGCCATGATCCCCAACTGCACGTTCCACATGTTCCCCGGTCTAGGCCATGCGCCCTTCCTTCAGGACCCCGAAGCGTTTTACGACGTGCTATTTTCTTGGCTGGACTAGATGGTATTGGCAATTGGCACGCCATAGCATTTGATACGATATATATTTGTCTTACGAGAGGGCGGGGACATTATACCAAACATTGTACATAGTAGCGCTTTACAACAACACTACCAAAAGCTTGTTCCTGGTGATTTTCGTAACCAGAAGCCTGTGAGGACAATACGTTATAATCAAGCACATATCAGTGCTTTGCTGCAACACGGCAAAAAAAAAGCCCCACTGATACTGCCTACGTCAAGGGGCCGGGCATAGTTGTCACCCAGTATAGCGAGGCTGAGTCTTTCTCAGGTCTCGACACACTCAATGCCGAATATTCAAAGCGGATTGGCGGTTACGCCTGCCGACACGCAAGTTACTCGCTGATCAAGTATTATGATTTCTTCATTTTTATATAAAACTTGTAGTCACATAAATTGTCACTGCATTCTGCTTGCTAGAGATTGTGCCTACCCGCCCTAGTATTTAATCTCTCGATTTCAAGCTTCCTTTTCTACCCATGTAGCACCTACCACTCAAAGAAGCTCATCGGTCCGACAACGTTTCTCACAAGCTCAACCCTCTTTCCGGGGTTATTTCCACCGCTACCAGCAGCGATCAAAAAAGGCCAGAAATGATCAGCATGGCCCTCGACATGTGCGACGTAACTTGAGGGTGCCTTCCTCCAGTTCCTTAATGCCTGGGCTCTCTCGTCACCTCCGGTGATCGATGCTACGGATACCAAATAGGTTTCAAATTCGTCGGCTGCAGCAGGAATGGGCAGTCCCTCCGCCATGGCCTTGAAAGCGGCCCCGAAGTCATGGTAGGACCCTCCGCTGCCAATAACAGCGTACCCAAGTTCTCGGAAGTGCACCAACGCCTGTCCGAGCTTCAGGTTTCTATCCGTAGTTTCTTGCTCGTTGCCACCCCTAAGGACGGACAACTGGACAACGGGAATATCGGCCTGGGGCCGCATGGTCTTCAACGGGACGAAGACACCGTGATCCAGCCCCCGTTTCTCATCAAGAACCGGTCTGTACCCATTACTTCGGAGGTGCTGGGCTACATACGCCGTCAACTCTCGGTTCCCTGCCACTGGGTACTTTTCTTCGAATACCCGCTGCGGGAGGACCAAGCCCTCTGGCGGGTTTTCGTAGTCGTAGTAAAGGCCGGGATTGGCAGAGGAGGTGAGGTGAGGCTCATCCGTCTCCCAATGAGCAGAGATGACTATAATGCCCTTGGCACCGTCAAGTTTGCTGCCAAGTTTGCTGACAGACAGCCGCCAAGTCTCCCAGCCCTCCTCGAAGAGTGGGAAGGGGCCTGCTCCATGGCTGACAAACATAGAGGGAACACGGAGTGGCTTAGAGGCGGCCATGACGTCGAGAGGGAGTTGGAGGAAAGGTAACAGAAGTAGGCCTTTGATTCTGGGGTACTCTGATGTGATTTGATCGAGGGTACGATGTTGATTGAATCAACTCGATACACAATCCCAAGGATACAAGGCTTTTATACTTGAAAGAGCGGCAAGCATCTCCCTTGGGCCTGATGTGGCCATAGAATCTTCTATTAGGGTACATCGCGGCCATCTGGCGCTAGTCCGACACTAGTCCGCGTGTGGACGCCACCAATAGTCGGGCTTCTGCCGTGCGGAAGCTTCGACTATTTGCCATTGCACGGGGACCTGCAAGCCTATTGTCCCCTTTTGTCCTGCGCTTCATGTAGGCAGACGAAATGACTGGAGCGCTTCGTTGTTTGCCGCACTCGCGAGTCGGGGCATGGTTGCTGCGTTACATAAGAGGCTAAACCCGAATAGGGATAAAGTCGAACCCCAAGGCAAGTCCTCCTCTTAGCCTCGCTTTCAATTCATTGAGGCGCCATTCGGCTGCGGTCTGGAGTCCAGAGCAGCCTAGTTTCCAACTCCCAGCCGGCATGTCTGCCAGCAGAGAAGCCCGGAACGCGTGTTTGCCCTGCTCGGAACGGAAGCGCCGGTGCGATCGGGTCATGCCAGCCTGTGGTTGGTGTGTCAGGTAACGAATATACCCCAGTCAGGTTTGTCTATCTAAGGCGTGTATTGATGCCTTCAAGACAGAATAAATTTTGCAACTATGTCGGCCATTATAGTAATCAATACTTACCTGAATTTCCAGAGAAGGGTTCCCAGCTGCTCTTTTCAACAATGCCGCGCCGCTGGACCCGACTCTGAATGCAGCAAGGATCTCGACTATTTACTAACTGTACATCTTTTCGACACACTCCAGCAGTTGACACTGGACTTGGGAGACGTCATCGAACGCTTTCTGCTGTTCGTGCAGCCCTGGTTGCCCATATTCCATCCCCCGACTCTGCGACAGAAAGCCTTGACATTGCGGGTGGCTCCTTCAGCCGAGCTGGCGTGTTTTCTACTCCACATATTGCTTGTTACTCCGCCCGGCTCGATCTCCTCCTTGGAAGCCTTTTTACCGGTCTTGTACGAAGACTGCAAGTCCTTGTTCTACCTCCTGCAGGCCCGCCGTCGAAACCGTCTACTCACTATCCAATCCGGACTCTTGCTTGCTGTTTACGAGCAAGGCAATTGCAGCTCCTCTGATGCGTATATCAGTCTGGCAAGTTGCGCCAGCCTGGCGCATGTCATGGGACTGGGCCAGCCTTCTGATGGCACGTGCTCAGCCAAAGATAAGGACAGCGAAGACAGGAGCCGGGTATGGTGGGCGCTCTATTTCCTCGATAGACTCAACTATGTCTCCGACGAGCAATTGGCCCGCGTCCCACTCCTCCGCAACGCACAGATGGGCGATCGTCTGTCGGGGAGTAATGGGCTATGGGCCCCCCCGCGACGGATGGATAAGGTCAGTACCTTGACCGTTCCGTTAGTGCCTGCAAATGATTTAATGGCTATTAGCGATTTCGGCGAATTGATCCAGGCCATGCACACCGTGCAATGTGTCCTACATCTGACGAGAGAACTCTCCACCCGTCCTGAGGCCCTTGTGAATCAAGATTCCTGGAAGCTTGATTTGCTCATCCAAGCAAAATATCTATAACAGTCTAATCTATTCTAAGCCCCTACATCACCAGTATATGGTGGTCGCGTTATACCTCATGTAAGCATACCTCTGCCCTTGTCTCATGTTCTTTGCTTCCACCTTGACAACTGACATCAAGATAGGTCACTAATTGAATTGCATGAAAAAAGACTGGTTTATTTCAGCCGCCAAAGCGATCCTTCCTCTGTCCGAGAGTCTTCCACGGCCGCTCTCGAAATTGCTCTCAAGATTTTCGGAGAACTCATGAGAGTGGACGATGCCTGGAAGATTCTTGAAATTGACAGGATGCCAGTGATAGCTGTTGTTTTGTTCGAGAAGATGGCATCTGTAGCCATCTTGCTGCAATTGCAGCACAATCACAATATTGAAGATGCAGTGCAAGCCTTGAGCAGGGCGATGGAGCGGGCAAGCATGCGATGGGAAGTCATAGGTAAGAAATTCACCAATATTTTGTCGTTATAATCCACACATACTAAATATTCAACGGTCGCAGGTAAAACCGCATCACATCTCCGTGCTGCCTGGGTTCGCTTACCAAAAGCTGCTTTAACCCTTGGGTAAACGATATTCGGAGGAGTTGCTAGAAGGGAGAAGAAATCACCGCAAGCGGTGGCCCCTGTATCGAGAGCTGAAAAGAACAAACAGGCCGACTTCCAGGGCCTGCACTTGGTTATTAGTTGGCAGTTTTTGACGGAGAAACATCCCGCTTGAAATAATTACACGGACTCCAGTGTCCCATAACCTATCATGCGATATAGTAAGTCTCATTGTTAGAAAGATTTCCCGAAGAGGTGGAAGATATCCGAACATCTAGCTTGTTCGCCGCCCGCCATTGCCTTCTACCTCCGCAGCTTCTGTCCTACAATCTCTTACAAGAGAGAGCCTGCTTATTTAAGCTGAGAATACTACCTGCAGCTTCAACTGAACTTCACTCAAGTATCCTACTTTTGTTGCAGTATACGCTCGCCATCAGTGTTTGCCTGCAGCTGGTACCCGGCATTCCGTACATGAATTCATGCTGACGCAGAACTTAGCAGACATCGCTCGTTTGAAGATACAGGAGCAACAGTCCGCTGTTACTATATGCTATCACCAAAAAGAGGTGACGAAAATGAGAACGACCCGTAAAAGTACAGATGAATAACAAAAGGGAAATGAAGAAGCTGGAAAGCAAAGACAAAGATCCTCCGTGCTAGGCAAACGAAAAATTGTAATTTTCAGGCATTAATAGGGACGGTGCCACTGAGTTCGAAAATGGATATGTATGCCACTCAGGAATGAGGCTGGAAAAGAACCGAAAAGCAGAAGAGCGCAGGCTAGGTATGTTACCCATAAGGCCCTGCGCAAGTTGAATATTACTCTTGCAGCTATCCTGACGGGCTAAGATGATCTATGCAGATGTGAGTAAAATGGCTATATTATCTTCCGTTGGTAAAAATAATCAACTTACCTCTGTTTCTTTCTGCCAAGCTGATGCAGCACTGTTATTTGCTGAACCTGGAAAGTTCCCGTCAGTTGCCGTTTCGGAAACTGCATACAGTGCTCGGCTTTGAAGCTCGCGACATAGATGAAGTACATTTTGTACCCCAGGAGCCTCGTCACGTTCTATTCGATTCAAGAAGCGAACAAAAAGATCCAGAGAGCGGATGTGAGAAAATGCTTTTGCATCTGTCGGGTCCTCAATTACCGCCCTGAGCAGCGTGATGCAAGCCGACAGAGGGTAGCATAGAATGTACCTAATTCACGATTAGACTTAAATACCGGCAGGAAACAATAGGCATAATTACCAAAGCCGCCCAGGTTGTTGGGGAGGCAAATACTCCAGTAGGTGGAGAATTTGTGAGGCGGCAAAAGTTGGGGATGACCTAAATAACTCCGTTCGCCAGCCCGCGTTATGGGAGTTCTCCTGCTTGAATTCTGCAAGAAAGCCATAAATCGTAATGAGAGCCTGATAGTACGAAAAATGCAAAGATATGATAGACTCCCTTGCCATGGGCGGGGTCTCTGGCCAAGTGATATAGCCAGGTCGTAAGTCTGCCGGCAGATTCTCTTTCCACTCCTCCAGTCGACGATCAAGCTCCCCCACAACTCCTTGAAGCCTTGATTGGTCTTGTTTGCTGAGTAGTTCCAATCGAAGGTCTTTCTGGATGATGTGTGCTATTGCCGCTAATTCAACTCGACACCGAAACAGCACTGATGGAAGGTTTGTTTTGGGGTTAAATTGAACTCCCGATAACGCAGTCACAATGGGATCGCAGAAGTGAAGGCTTGCGACATTATCGTCGTACGTTGAAGGGGATCCCGTCAAGATGGGTATGTCTTTGTCGAGTATGAAGGAAATCCAAAACGCCCGCCTAATGCGTTCCTTGGTTGCAGAATCCAACCCCGAGACGTAAGATTCTTGATGCAATCCAAGTGTTAATGATAGACGAGCGGCCGTACATATCAAAAGAGACGTAGTCCGCGTATCGTTGGTACCTTGCATAAAAATAGCCATGGCAAGAAGTGCCTCCAGTGCCAAAACGCTTGTTCCTCGTAGCGAAATGGCAGTGTACACGCTGAATGCGTTCTTGAAGAAGCACCATGATAGTTTCGTCATCTCGCTTCGGGATTTTGGAGCAGACCGCAGTTGAATTGCAACTGCTAAGGCGGAGTTTATCATAGCCCATCGCGCAGGGTCCTTTCCAGGAGAAGCAACAGGATCAGCATAGTGCCCTTGAAGAAGATTGTTTAGAACTTGAGCATCAAACAATGGCAGGACATAGTTAATCTCGTCGAAAGCGATTTCAAACATAGACTCAACCTGAGATTTTGGGGGGAGTGGGATGAAGACAGGGCTGAAGAAGGGGCCATAGCTTGCCTCAGACATGAGAAATTTCGCTGTCTGTTGCTCCGGCAGTGCTGCGAAGATTTTATCTTCGATACTCGATCCATCTCGACCGCTGGTAAATGCCGATGATGTAACAGTCTTTGGTAGCAGCTCTCGAGATACCTTTTCCTCCAAACGGACAGCATGCGCGATGGTAGGAACCGGCCTTCCATAATCTAATGCCATAAAATTGCTCATCTCGGTCCCGTTACGGTCTGGTGGCGTCTGAACAGGGGGCGTGCTCAGGCTAATTTCAGAAGTGCTATGGTAAGAAACGGACTCAGTCTCTATCGGCTGTGAACCCGCATCCACCTTGCTCTTTGTAGGTTCGACAGGTATGTCTGCGGAAAGGCGTTGAGAAGTTTCCAATTCTGCCACTCTCGCCTCGAGTCGTTCTAAATACTTGTTTCTATAGAACGATTAACACGAGCAAGAAACATGCATCGATAAGAGCGTACGTCTTTCCTCGGCCTCGTCGTCTCACCGGAAGATAGGTACAAGGGAAAGAGCGTTCGGAACATGAAGAGCACTTCGGAGAGATCCTATCGCATCGTTTCTTTTTCTGTTGACATTGCAAACATGCCTACCACGAGGTTATTAAATATGCCGACATTTGAGGTTTAGTCTCCTTACATTTGAGGCTTTTTTCACGGCTCGTCCTTTGGAAGCCAAATCTCCATTTGGTTGCATATTCTCATGCTCGTAAGCACGATTCGTTGCCAGATTTGGGCGGGTACGATGTGCCGACTGAAGGAAACTAAGTTCAGATTTGAATGAACTTAGAAAGCTGATCAAAAAGCGTATCATAGACTTTCACCTACGAGGTTGGGATGGTGTTCGGCGAAGCGGCAGCAGACGTGCCGGGAACAAATTGCGCCCGACAATAGCGGATCCAGATATAGAGAAGTGTCGGGAACAAATTGCACCCGGCTGACAAAAGATTGGTTCATTCGATAATGCATTGACCAACCACAGACTTCCAATATCCACAAAATGGTTCTTGGCAGAGTGCGTTTCTAAGCATGGTTTGATATCAACAGCAACCTATATAATAGACTCGGTGCTCTCAGTTCTACTATTTGGGCATTCACTTTACCAATAACTATCTAAGCATCATCAATCACAATGGCCATCATCGCAGTCGCCGGTGGTACGGGCAAACTCGGTCGGGCGATCGTGGAGGCTCTGAAAGCTACCACTAGCCACACTATCTATATTCTGGCTAGAAAGGTATGATGTCGGCCCGGAAACTGTAGCGCAGGACCACTCACTGGGACTTTCCGTAGGAAAACCAGGATCTCTCTGAAGAACTCGGTGTTCCGATTGTACCGACTCAATATTCCAACGTTGAGTCCCTTGCCAAGCTCTTGGAAGAGAACAAAATAGACACCATTGTTTCTGCAATGACAGTTGTCGATGATGATACGAGCAGCTCGCAGCTGAACCTCATTGCGGCAGCTGATCAATCGTTGAGCACAAAGCGTTTCATTCCCAGTGAATATGGCATTGCTTACACCGAAGAGTAAGTACGGTTGGCGAGTATTCACGAGTCGAAGTCTGACCTTTTTAGGCATGCAGCCTTGTTTCCTATTGTGAAAGGCAAGCTTGCTGCAGTTCAAAAGTTGCAATCCACGACTTTGGAATATACTTTAGTCTCTAATGGTTTCTTCATGGACTACTACGGTCTACCCCGGGTAAAAAGTTACCTACAACCTTTTGTTTTCGCTCTCGACATGGCACACAACGCGGCTGCTATTCCAGGCTCGGGCAACACTCCTGTGGTCTTCACTCATACCTTTGATGTGGCAAAGTTTGTTGCCGCTTTGATTAGCCAAGCTGATTGGCCTAAGCGCAGCGTCATCATTGGAGACAAGAAGACGTGGAATGAGGCTCTTTCTATCGCGGAAGAGACCAAAGGTTCGTCACTTTCATGCAATCGTGCGTTACGTTGTTCTCACCACAGTGCTAGGCACTAAATTCAATGTCACGTACGATGACCACGAGAGACTGGGCTCTCTTACAGTTACCGAGCTTCCATCGCATTCTGCTATCTACCCTTTCCTACCCAAAGAGAAACTCCAATACATCCTGGCTGTCTTTGGTCGGTGGACAGCTGCGGGAGATTTTGATTTTCCCGAGAATGACACGCTCAACAGCCGCTTCCCGGATATTGAAACACGCACCCTTCGCCAGGTTATAGAGCAGGGTTGGAAGGCCTGATTCAAGCTTCTCTAATTTTGTTTCTTTGACAACTTAAGGGGTTGCTAAACGTATTCATATATCTGCAGCGATCGGGACACAGGAAGACGCAATGAACTAGAGAGTGAATGGGCGGTGGAGAGAAGGAAAGAGAAGGACCGCAGAGAGAGAGAAATTTATGTACATGTTATTCTTGATTTTACACAGGGTTCTCGACAATAAGCTACCCATGAGAATAATTATTACTCATACTGACCTGAAATAAGTGCCAGCGATTCAATAACTGATCTAATGTAGGCTGCAATAACTGCTGCAAAGACCGTGGTTGGTCGGCTGGCGTATCTTATTTTCCGCGAAGTACATATTTCGTCAATAGGGGGCATGCATACATGTAAGCAACCTTATGTCAAGAATTGCAAGATCTCTAATTCTGCTAAGCATGTTTGATCACACTCATCAAAGGTTGTATGCTATGAGATAAGGTGTCAAAACTGCAACAAAGTAACATGCTTTTCCCATATCCTGTCCAACACGCGGCGCTGTTCAATATATTTTCGCCTTCCGCTTAGGCCTCATCCAAGTGGTTTTTGAAGAGGTAGTGGCTGAGGTCGGGAGGGTTCGAATAGGTAACGTCGTTGACCTTGAGAGGTGAGTTGCTGCCCAATTATGCCATTGTACACCGGTTACACACCTCAAAGCTAGCTTTTCTAATGAACAAGAGCGTCATACGCCCTCGAGTGACAGTATCAAACTGCATTTTAAACCGAAGCCCGGCGTCTCTCCAGTTGACATATGTGTCTGACAAGACACAAGGTAGGCTCAGTTTCTTCACCTGACTCAACAGTATCTAATGGGGCTCAATTCTGAGCTACGGACTACACCTCATCCTCCTAGAACCCCCAGCCACACACATACATGTCTTTCAATATAAGGAGAAGAAACGATAGTGCTTGTCTATATTGCATTGATGCATGGTGCATGCAAGGTTCATTGCGTTGAGATTTTACACAGTATCAGGGAGGTATAGCTCGCCGCTCTGCGAGAGTTGCATTCGGCTCTTTAGCCCTTTGGTCGCTTCTTATTGCACTATGCTGGCTGTAGCCCTTTACCGAGAACAGTCCTTTCCCCGAATTCCTGCTCAGCGACCTGATACAAAGGTAGTCCCTGAAAATATCCATTGCCACTTGTTCCAACCGCCTCCCATGTGGTACGAGCCTCATCCTCGCCGATTGTTGTCAGCTGTATACCGGTTCCGGTCGAACTCGCGTCTGCCAGGAGCTGAATCTGGCAGCATCGCTCAAAGAGCACAAACCACGCAACGGTAGCTTCAATAGTAGGCCCGACAGTCAGGATACCGTGGTTTCCTAGAATCGCAGCTTTTTTATTGCCCAGGACTCTGGCAATGGCCTGGCCTTCCTCGGGGGCTAAGACAAGGCCTGCAAAATTTTCGTATCGTACATGATCATCCCAGAAGACGCAAAAGTCCTGTGTTAGCATGGAGAGCGTCCGTCCTGTTGCGGCCATGGCTCGCCCATAAGTGCTGTGCGAATGTGCGGCGCAAAGGACATCCGGCCGCGCCTTGTGTATTTCGGCATGTATAGCATACGCAGCTACAACCTTCTTAGTACGGGCGTGTGAACGTAGGTTGGCAGCCAATGTGAGCCAGTGAAGCCGAAAACATACATACCATAGTTAAGACGCCGGTTCTGACCTCCCTCGATCACTTTCCCGTTATGGTCAACTCGAATAAGGTCTGCGTCCCGTATAAGCGAAAAATGCAAGCCTGAATAGATCTGTCAGTTCAGGTTGCTCCCAGGCGATTGCCTTCAATAGCTTGAATATTAACACATACCAAATGGGTTCACCCAGAAACTTGAAGGTTCAACAGGGTCCCTGAGGGTAATGTGGCCCGCAACACCTTCCGAGAGCCCAAATTGAGCAAATATACGGAACGCGATCGCAAGCCGGTGTTTGAGATATTTGCGCTCCTCATACTTGTTATCAAACCTCGGCGCTGTTTCGGCCTCTTCGTCAACGTAAGCCAGAGCTGGGTCTCCGCTTTTGTAGGGTTCGGTCGAGATCGATGGGTGCATTGTCTCCGCGAAAAGTGGCAAGTTTGACAATGCTGGTGGAGCCATGATGAAATGCTTTACCGTCTAGCCTTGATATTACTGAGGGGAATGGATTGTACGATAGTAAGCACAATTACCGTGTGTCGCTCTAGAGATCTACGGGGAAGGGAGCATTATTATGTATCTTCTCCAGGCAAGATTTTTTGATGAATTTGTGGGACGCGGAATAGGCGGTATCTGCGGGATTAGATGATTTCCTCATGTTAGTAAATCTCAGTGGGCTTTTGGAAGGAACTTTTCCGCCTCCTGTGGGCGGATAGTTTCGAATTCATCTTGTTCCCCAAAATCTGCCCCGCAGGATGTGGCTTTTGGAAGGGCTTTTTGCATTTTTATCCGCTCCCCCCGCGGATAATCCCAAATCGTTTCATCCGCCAAATATTCCGCCCGAAACCATGGCAATACATGGGAGAGCATGGCTCCTCCATTATCCCAAGAGGTGACAGTGAATTTTCCAAACACTACTCGTAAGATGTAAGGTTGGGCACGGTCAAGTATTTCCATGTATCTGGTGAAAAGTAGAGTATATGTTATTGTATGGGCTCAGATTATAGATTCAATCCACAACCAAATCTAGTATGTTACTAACTATATTGGTAATAAATTGCCCTTCAAAAATCTTGTACAAACAAAAATTGTTGCGGTTGAGATATCAGACTATGACTTTTGGTGCTCTCTTGGCGTCCTCTTCCAGGACCAGAACGAGACACTAGTGATACTGAGTGCGATTGTTTACATTCGAACTGCGCACAAACGCGGCACCTAACTTTCGATCCGCTGTTGGCCCTTGTAGCGGCTGACCGTACAACGAGACATTAGGTGAAGCTCTCTTCCGACGCTATATCACTACGTTGATCACTTTCGAGAGCCAGTTCAAAACCTCGCTTTCCTTAGCACTCTCAGGCCATTCCCGCCAGCTGTCCTCTTCATTGGGTGAGAGGCTAATACCTTCCTTGCATTTTCTTAACCGGTTCAAGACCATCATTATCCCTGAAGGCTGCGTCGTAGAAGTCAGATACCCTGATATAGATGGACACCAGTTCCTCCTTCAACATACTATTGATGTCTTTCTATGCTCCGAAGAGTTTGAAAAACCGCTTGTAGTGTGCAAGTAGGGGGTTTTGGCCAAGAAAAGTTAACATTCTGGGAGGTGGTGTGGAATCGACTGTGTCTATGTAAACTTTGTCCCAAATTGGCCTCATCAGATTCTACGTTGAGATCGCGTCGAGGAATTCAACCAATCAGTTAGGGTCAAAGCTGTTAGTATAAACAGCAGAGCCCAGTCTCAACAATAAATAAAAAGGTTTCTGCTACCATTGATGGAGTGCAACACACGCGCAGCGGGAAGAGCTTGGAACGCCACTATTAGGTCAAGGCACAAAGCCTGAACAATTTATTCAAGGTTGAAAATGCTTGAAGAATTTGGACTACGCCTACCATTCGCATCCAATTAACGAATAAGAAGAGACAGCCACCGATGTTCCATATACCGGGTTCAAGAATCGGAGGATATTTGGATCAGCATTATTCGAGTACTGGATGGTATGAACGCCCAGACCGACTGGCTTGGGCTTCATTGACGCACTACAGAGTAAAGATACTATGCTTCCTGGCCTCGCACGTTACTAATGCTCTCAAATGCAGCGCTTTCTCCAGGTAAAGGCTGCCCTGTCCAAGCGTCGCGCGGGCGGAATTTGCCCGCCTTCGGCCACATATGTAAATACCGACATCGACCAGCGCTCGGCGAACAATCACGTCTTCAATTCAAAGAGATTGCCTTAATGGACCAGCAAGCTCCCCCGGAATCAGCCCTTGCTACTCCCGGCGACTCGCGGTCGATTACCTTTCTCCCTGTCAACGAATCCAACTCCCCAATCACACAGCGGATGAAGCGCGGCTCGCAGTCCTGCGACTACTGTCGGGATAGGAAAAAGCGTTGCGAACAGATATCGTCAGATGGACCATGCCGGAGATGTCTAGACGATGGCAGGGGTTGCCTAACTACGCAAAAAAGGAAGAAGAGGAAGCTGAGACAGGTGTCCGGCAAGCAGGTTGCGACGGGCACGCCAGAATCAGAGATCCAACCCCGCTCCGCTTCCGCGTCTCTGTTCGATTACCCAGGTTCTTTCCCTAATCCCCGGAACAAGGTGCCAGAGGAACGAGAGTCGCTTCAACATGTCCCCAACACTAAGGAACAAATCCTGTCAACTGACCTCCTCGACGCGCGAGACGCATTGGATCTCATCGCCGTGGCTGGATCAAGAGAGCGTATGGGCGAGGAGAAGCTACAGCTGGATGAAAGACAAACGCTCAATTCCCAGACGCAGCGGCCAGAACCCAGGCCCGCAATAGCACCATCGAAGACGGAACTTGACAGTTTCTTTCTTGTCCGGAAAGGCATCATTCGGGCCTGCGAAGTGTATGAGTACCTGGGATTTTACTTCACCCATCTTTGGCAGGTATTTCCGGTCGTTCCCCAGTGGTACGCCACGCCCGAGCGGTACAGCTTACTAGTACAACACGAAACTGTCCTCGCTATCAGCCTGGTAGCACTCGCTTCTAGGTACCACACTCTGGCTGGGCTAAATGGCGCCGCCCGGTCGGAGAGGGTTCACTGGCGCACATGGCCGTGGGTGCAACGGCTCTTTCAGTCTGCCATGTGGGGGTCGGCGGGAATGCGCAGCTACGGGGCTATTGCGGCCTTGCTGCTAACAATCGAATGGCATCCTAGAGCTATAAATTCACAAGAAGATTTTGTCGGGGACTATGGCGAGCCGGAACTGTTCGAGTCACAGGGTCAAGAAGACACTTGCCCTCCGAATATTACCGCGATTAGCCGGCGCAGTGAAGGATATAGCATACCCGAGCGGTTGAATCTAGTTGCAACGGCCCATAGGAGCAATAAGATGTCTTGGTAAGGGGTTTAGTATTTATGTGGAGCGCATAACTGATGTCGCTAGGATATTGCTGTCAACCGGCATCTCGCTCGCAGAAGAGATAGGTTGCTTTGCAGACCCGTCCGACTTCCCCCATGCAAAACGTCGGCCTCAGGACTCTGTAGATTGTCTTGATTGGGCCCATACTCTGTGCACGTTTCTTCGGATTACTGATGAAAGCCTATCGCTGCGGCTACGTCTGGAGCCGCAGCTAAGAGGTCTGCGATTACTCGAAATTGCCGACTGCATTTCCCCTGCCTTAGCAGCGGATGAATTTTGGGACAGCACAGTGGAGTTGGCCATTCAGATGGGTAAGGCACGAGATCTTCTTCGCAGTTGGAGGAAGAGCCAACATGGCACGGGACCCGCCATTCCGCTCGCTGCATGGGATAGCTTCAGACGGAGCCTCGACCGTTGGAAGAGACAACGGCAGCTCAACAGGAGAGGTGCGCTCGATTCCTGGGTCCAGCCTCTACAGAAGTCCTGTATTAAGCTCCCAATGCAGATGTTTCTCTACGTGATGCCTGTCTCGATATTGAATACTATTATGTCCGCCTATGTGGGCTGAGCCCGGCTGCGCACATGTTTGTGAGCGCAGCGGAAAGCAATGTCACGGACTCCATGCGTTCATTATCACAGTTTGCAAACGATGCTGCCGTGGCGTCCATTGACCTGCTCGACTCGGTGACATACAATCTCGCGTCATCCAGTTTCTTTAAGTATGCTCCGGTCAAAACTTGGCTCTACATCGTTTGCGCTGCTTTATATCTTCTGAAGGTTGTTCACTCTCTCAGTATATCCCTACTACACAACCGCCCTACTAAAGCTAGCAGGTTACTCTCAATGCTGAGGAGCAGTTGGATGGCAGCGATCCACGCATTCTTCGGATCCTTAGCGTCGTCGCTGCTATCAAGAAAAATGCCCCTGATGACATCCACATGGCACAGCGCTATGCCACATTGCTCGATATTCTCGTCAGCGCAGCGACGCGCTCGGGCCCCAATGCGACGCGCGGCGTCGCACACGACGAAGCAAATCAGCCATCTCATATCGCGAGCTATCTGGGTAATACGTATCTTGACAGCAACGTTTTCAACAGTACGGCGGGTGATTCTATCTACGATCCGAACTTCTGGGATTCCCTGCCCGATATGGTCGGCTTGGATAACATGCCCAACCTTTTTATGCCGGCGTTTACTAGCTTATAAACGAGACTTGTTGGTTCTATCTGCGATATCTATGACACACTTGCTCTCTGCACGCAGATGTATCCGGTATACACAAATGGACTGCTCATGACAATCAAACCTGCAAGTTCTGCCCTTCCCGCGCAGCAATCACCTTGCTGCAAATGGCGTTGATCTTCATATAATTCTCAAAATTGTCCACCCCAATCACAAACGGGTTTGTAGCCCCAGGAGCACGATGTGTCAGCATATCAGCATGCCACAACGCATGATCCGCGACCTGGTGGTTAGAAATAAGCGTATCAACCCCCAAGTCCTTACATATCCGCGAGAACCGGTACTGCGACCTGATCTTCTGCTCACGCGAGACTGCGTCTTTCGGTGTTCCAGTACCACCGGAAATCCCAGCTACATGCGATCTTCCATGATCAACAACAGGGAAGATAAGTGACAAAGTCCCTGGCGTATGTCCGGGCGTGAGGACAACATGGAACGTTACGTCTCCGACCGTAAGCTTTGCACCATCTTCTAGCACTCTGTCCTTGGTGGGAACCGGGGGATTGGCACTAAGGCCCATCTCTTTCATCCCCTGCCATGCCTTCTCCGACGCGTACACAGCCGGGCCGAATGTATCCTGGATATACTTCGCGCCCCCGTAATGATCAAGATGCTCGTGCGTGATAATTAAATGCTTAATATCCTTCGCTGCCAGCCCAAACCTCTCAAGGCCTGGAATTAGAATCGCCTCGACCTCCTCTTGGTTATCGAGGGCATCGACCACAACAATACCCTCTGTCGTGTTGTACGCCCATGAGGACACGCCGCTATGCCCGATAAAGTAGAGATTGTCAAATGGCGAAAAAGGTGCGACGAAGCCAGTCTGGAACTGGAATAGGGGCGGGTACACCTGCTGCACGATGCATTGGTCTTGAAAGTATTGGTGAATGCTGCCGTCTGTCGCTAGCGCTGCGGCTTCCTTTAGATACCGGGTGACATTGGCCTTTTGTTCATTCGGGAAGATCGTTATGTTGAAGAATTCGTTCACTGGGGCTAGTGCACTGCCCAGGGGAAGAAGGAGGGCTAGAAAGGATAAGGATCGCAGAGGCGCCATTGTAAGTTGCATCGTAGAAAGCGGATTTAATATCGTGATACTTCAGCCCCTTTATATCAATCCCTTGTTACCCAGGAATGGCGACATGTCGACGCGGACGTTGGGACGTATCGTGGAGAAGAATGGCGGCAGTGTTGTCGGCCGCGGGTGGATGCAAAAGCCCTAACACCATCCGCCATGGCGGATAATTTGTCTAGGGATAGCCCGCAACGATCCGCAAGCATGAAGATAGATAATTGGCTCGCTATAAGCTCTCGACTGCGCGATGTGATATGCACTATCCAAGGCGGCTACTTCGGAAATCGCTAGCTCGGTTTATTCCGAGGCTTCCACGGCGAACATCTTTATTTGCTGTCCGACATGCGGATTCATTCCGCCACCAGGCGGGCCTTTAATAATTGTCTCTAAGGAGCCGGGGAAACCTAGAGCACGTCCCTGCTCCGCTAGGCTCTGTTTCTAGAAACGGAGAACTTAGACGGTTTGGCGACATTCATTGCTTGAGTACGTTGGTAAGGCAGAATGGGCTCGATCAAAGTAAGCAACGCCGTGCCATTAGCCTAATACCTATGGCGGAGCTACGATAATCCGGGCGTCACGCAGCTTTTTATCAGGGCTCAAAATACGTTGGCAGGAAAGCAGAATTCGAAAAGGTCATTCGTCACGAGAATACGTGGACATCACCTCGATTCAACTGTTGAAGGTTATGATGGATAAGGTGAATTTACCGCGGCGACTGCAGGCGAAACTGACTTAATCAATGAGCACAAAATGGTTAATTCTGCTGCTACGGGTAAAGTGGTCAATGGGAGTTGGTTCCGTACTTCTCCCGAGCTCTGTGGTCAATTCGATCAGTAATGTTATAATGTAAACGCACATAAAGCTCCGATCATGAAATGCATGGAAATGCATGGAATACTGCCTGCATTAACCATGCCATGCACGGCGGTACCCTCAGCCGATGTACTTCACTACTATAAGTAGCTGTAAGGATACCTTCTTCTTGAAGACGGACTTAGAGCTTGAATCATCTCGTTTGCTGCCTATTTTGCTCAAGTGCTGTCAGTCATCAAAATTACAATAATCAACGATTACATACAATAGGCTTTTGCTATTGTGCGTCGAATCAGTATATATAAAGTGTAGGCATGGAGCAGGTACCTGAGCCCATCTCAAATCGTTGTGATATTATCATTCACGCCTCAGGCATATCACATTTATGATTCACGCGCAAGTGCCGTCTAGGGTAGCAGTAAATCTTTCATTATTATTAACATTTGTGACTCCATCGAGCCCTCGGTAAATGTATCTTATCACTATAAATGGGCGGAGGAGTACTTGATACTGGGGTTTAGACTTAATCAATTCGTTCAATAAGTGGTTAAGAGCTAGCAAGACATTCGGTCAAATCGTACACTTTAACACAAATGATCGGCATTTCTTTCTCGAGAGACTTTCCAACTACATGCGGGCCAGGTAAGCCAGTATTGGGAGGATATAAAGCTGTACATATGTATCCCTAAGCATGACCCGCCACACGACCTGCAAATTCCGACACTCTACGTCTTCCGTGCACTGTAAATGCCTGATTCAAAGCGACCTACCCTTCACAGAGGATACCGGAATGACTTGTTCATCCCATCCGTCAAGTCCTCCAGCCCATGTTCACTCGTCGGCACACCATACTGGCGATCCCTCCGCTTATTCTGCGCGCGGATAAGCACCCGAAACACTTGCGCAAGAACAAAGCAAATCCCGAAGCAGATAACAGTTGCCTGGAATCCAGGATCGTAACGCGGGGCATCTTTCCTGTCTTTCTGGGTTAGGAAATAATCAAGCTATTCATTAGGGTGGTGCGGTTACGCACGCATCAAATGTCAAAGGCCCAATAATGTTGCCTAGCGAGTACCCGATGAACGTCCCCGCTGCCATTATAGTTTTCTTCGTGTGTCCGGCTACATTGGAGGTTCCCATGGCAATGCACTGGACCCAAGCTGAAGAGAAGAAATTGATTAGGTAGAAGCCAATGATCCGTGCGGCACGTTGGGAGTCGGGGAGGCGCCATCTGCGGTGACGAGTCGATTAGCAAAATATCTAAATTACAGCGAGGATGAAGAGGCATACACCAAGCAGCTCCCAATTATCACAGGCACGCAGGCTCCGCTGACAACATGGAGCCGTGAATTTGGCACATTTCGGCCGATATACCCCGACCCTAGAACGCAGATGAATGCCAGAGCGCCAATTGGCATATTCAGGAGCAGGGACTGGAACATGGAGAAGCCCATGCCCTTAAATACAATAGAGCCGAATGTAGTGACTGCCCCGCTGCCGATACTGGAGAGCGTGGAGAGCAGGAAGATGCACCAGAAGTGGTAGGAGAAGAGCGCCTCGCGCATCTGGTACCATTTGAAATTCCTATTCTCTGACCCTGCGTTGTTGCTACGCACGCGCTCAAGAAGGAGGATGCGTTCCTCGACAGTGAATCCTTTGGCGACCTGCGGACTGTCCGGGAATATGAACCATAGCGCTACAGCCCAGAGGAGGGTTGCGAGGCCGGCGATGAGGTACATGTATTGCCAGGGATGCATGGATCCGCCTGTGATGTGGCCTAAGCCATAGTTGATGAGAGGGGAGACAATGTTCGAACCGCCGCTGAAGGAGTACCATAGCGAGGAGCGGAGAACTTGTTCGGAGTGGGTGTACCACATCCCTGTGCAGAGCATGAAGCTGGGGGAGACACCGCTCTCGATGACACCCAGCATGAAGCGGTTGACGAGGATGCCGGCGTAGCTTGTGCATGCTGGGGTGCAAAGGACTACCACGGCCCATAGGAAGCAGATAATTGGACAGACGACGCGGATAGAGTATGTCTGCGTTAGCCAGGATATCTATAAAGTTCAGCGCCGGTGCCGAAAATCGGTCAAGGTGACACACCGGATAACAGCCTGCCATGTAACCAAAGTAGAAGATCAACGACACCCATGAGTATCGCAGTCCATCTTCAAGTCCGAGATCATCCCTCAATCCGAAGATGGCGGCCTGGCTCAGGAGCGCTTTGTCGTAGTACTGGAGAGCGTAGGTGAAACACATCTGCCACAGTGAGTCTCTAGAATCCTTCTGTCAGACCAACATCAGCCTTACCACCGGCATCAATCGAAGGTCAATTTTTCGCAGCAACCGTTTGTTCGTTACCTCGTCCAGAATGGGTCTGTCGGAGGGCAGCTCCACGTCATCATGCACCCGGTCCTTATTGTCCTGGGGAGCGTATTCGCCGTGCTTGACGGTGATCTTGGGATCGTACGGCATGGTGGATTTCTGAAAGCTTTTGCGTCCCACTCGGGCCTAGTACACAGCTTTTATAAATCAACTTATGGTCACCTCTGGGGATTGCGGGGAATCTGGGGTTAGACATGGGGCGCGCTGGTGTCGGATATGTCGCATGTACGCTTTGGTAAATGCCGCTGCACCGCGAAGAGATTCCGACCTTTAACATAAATGGCCCCTGCGGCACAACCCTTGTCGGCTGATAGAAATCGGACCAAAACTGCATCGCTTATATTCCGCCAGCTGACGCGTCTAATACCTAGTAGAGCCGCTGGCCTCAGAACTCCCTATTCCGGATCATAGATCACCGCCTCAAAAGGTTGACCTAGTGTGTCCAGGAGTGAGATCGGGCGATAGGGCCCAGGATCGAATAATCTGCTTTCTTAAGTTTCTGCTGCAGCACAAAACGTTGACCTGTGTAATATTAAACACAGTCATTAAATCCCTCAGTTTGGGGCGATTTCGCAATGTCCGGCTGGCCACTAGAGTCGTGTAATGTGCCGTGGGGCTTGGTTTTCCTGGCCTGCGAGTAGAATGGCAAGGATGATCTGTTACCCTGGCCGGTTCCGGATTCTGCATTACTTGCGGTGCTGATTTCCTGTCACTGAGAACAGTGGCAGATCTCATCCGTGCGTGGGCTGTTCTCCAATGGTCCATCCCCCATGCATCAGTCAGGGGTATTCGATCCCATGGTTTTACCCTATGTTTTAAACCATTAGGTCGAGGGTCCCGTCGATTCGCCTGCGGAAGTAGTCAATGAAGATGGAAGCATCGCCGTGGACGGGGAGGAGTTGGTCGACCAGGTCGGAGTTGAAGAATGCAAACAGAACATAGAAGAAAGGTGAGAGGTGAGCCTTGCTCGAGTCCTGCGTAACTCTGTGCGATAGTCGTCCTATCCTATGCTAGCGTGGCGGCCGCTCCGCGAGAATCCTCCTGGCCCGAAGTCAAGAGCCCATTTGTTGCTAAGCAGGATCAGCAATAATTCACAATTTGTATTAGGACTAGCTGGGGTCTGTATCTTCATCCAACAATACCTAAGTGTAGCACACCGAGTCTTCGTTTGTCGGCTATGATTAACATCTATTCAAGATGAGAACATAACCTCCATGTACCTACGGGCAGTCGTCATTACAACTCATGGTTAGGCCTTAGGTTCAGCTGGGCCTCGATACGACTCATCTCCTCCTCCGGGTCATTGATGATCTTGCCACCATCATCCTCAGGATCTCCTTCGACGGGCCTCTTGTTTCAACCCTCTGGAATCTATTGTCAATCCACTGCCAGGCTAATGGCAGCCCTATCAAGCCAATAGTATGGTCTGCACGCTTCAGCGTGATGTGTTTCACCCGCGTCCAGGTTTCCCACCTCCACTTGGACACCAGGTCTTTTGTGTCCTTAATAGGCTTCGTGATTTCGTCCTCAGCGCCATTGAAGATCATTAGCGGGTACCATGGCCTATTTTTCCATGTAATGTTTCTTCCCATCACACCAATCTCGTCCAGTGTACTCTTGAGTTTTTCCAAGAAAGAATCGCCGTGTTTGAAGAAGGATAAGACATTGGCACCGACCAGTTCCTCTGAGCTGATTTCACAAGACTGAAGCGTCCGGTTCGCCGTGCACATTCTGTGTGCGATACAGTAACTTGACTCTAAGTCAATGACAAATATCTAGACCTTATGCTCAAGGTTCACTTGGTCTATTTCCCAATAAATAGTTCCCACTTCCGCGAGATCCTGGACACTCACGTGGGGCCGAGTGTATACTCCGCTTCAAAAAGGTCATGGTTCGTCCCCATTCCGAATTTGGGTTTGCGTGTATTTTTTTCGTACACGGGATTTTCACCGGAGCCGTAGAGAAAGCTTGCCACCTCGTCTGTAACCTTAACGAACCTCCCCGGCATTCCGCGATGGCCTTCCATAGCGATTGTGACGGTCGGTTTTAATGGTTGATCTCTCTCGGCCCAATTCAGTTCCTCCCGCATCCTATCTAAGAGCCCAGACAAACGAAATTCATCGTTAGGGAACTCGAGAAATTGTAGTTCAATAGAACTCAATGAGCTTGGTACCAAATTCAGTAAATCGATCAACTCCGACGTGTCGACGCTGAAACGAGAAAGCCCTAAATGACACAGCTTTGGCCATTTCTTAATAGGGAAAACCTGTTTCAGGGGAATAGGTGGATCCCCCATTGAAGATCCATCATCAAATGTAGTCGATAAATGGATATGTGTCAATTCTTTGGCTAGGCTAATTGCCTGATGAAAGTATCCGCTTCGGAATCCCGCCCAGCTATAAATTCCACTAGTGCCAGTAAGCAAGGATACGTGAAGGCACTGAAAGCCTGGACGTTTTATGATAGCCGCAAATGATTGTATTCTTCACACGACTGGTCAAAGATCAGATAGTTTATTCCAGTAGGGAGCTGCTTTGAATCGAAGCTCAGCTCAGAAATGTGCTTCTCGCCTGTGACAGAACGCGAAGAGCGATTCGAGCCCCTCTCCATAGCTCCTTGTATTCCTCGGTTGCCTCTGACCGTAATGGGTTAGCAATTTGACCCTCGTTTTGCTCGATATACCATCCTCGCGGAATAGGATAATTAAATCCGTATGGAAATGCTCGGATCATTGGCGTCTCGTAAAGTGGAGAAAAAAGCTAGCCGTGAGCCGCAGGCGTAACAGTCACTCTTTTTAGCCGCGGGAACCGCTCTAGGCCGTAAAGAAAGGATTTTTCGTCATCTTGAGATTCGATCACAGTTTTCTGATCATTCAATATTTGCGAGTAATACTTCCAGCAGGCTTTCAAAGGCATTTCTGCATCCATCTGGTTCTTCCGACGTTTCATCATATAGCGGTTTTCTTCGCATTGCTCCACGAACCAGTTAGGACATCCTTCATCTAGGTTGGTTTGCAATCTTTGGGGGTCGATTATTGAATGCGCTTCTTCCCAGATCAATGGCGCGGAGACAAAACGTGCGTCGTCCCAAATGATCTCCGTGATCTGTTGTCGGAATTTTGGATGGTCCGCTACGGCGCGGAAAACTTGGATGTTTAACGAATTGGCAGAAAGAAACACGCGTGACAAGGATGGCGTTATCTCGCCGAGTGTTTTGCATGTCAAGCGCAAGGACTTGACATCTTTGTTTGGCAAGAAGGACACAATCAACGAAATCATTTCAGGGGGGAAACGAAGTAACCACGGGCTTTGTGTTGCCATCCCGGATGAGAGGGCCTGTGAAGCCATTGAAAGTTGGTAGGTCAGTGAGTTGGAAGATGCGCAGATGCGGGTGAACAATGCACTAAATAGAACTCAGGGCGGTTTGGAACTAGTGTCAGTTAGGAAAGGTCAATTTTACTAGTTCATGTAATAGTTAACTGGTAGGAAATCTATCGGCAGCGACCTATACAGCAGTGAGAAATAGCTCGTAAGGACGTCCGGTGCCTTATAGCTAGGGGATTGATAATTCAACACCCCTTTGGATAACTGTGAGACCACGCAGTGTCTCTAGGTTTAGGTAGGTGAGCGAGGTAGATGACCCTAGGCCTCGCCCTTACCCGTGGGTAGACGGGTTTTACCCGACCTATACCTATTTCTTGGCGGGTTTTGGGTTTAAAGTTCAGACCTAGGGTCCGGTACGGGTTTTGATATTAGACCCGTACCTAACCCGCGGGTTACCTACGGGTTGATAAACAATGTAAACATAGATAATCTCGTGATATATATAAATTGTGTACTTCTAGGCTATATTAATATATATTTAGCTTATAAGCGGTATACTTTTAACGGAACTAGATTAAGTATAAATAGCTTTAATTATATAACTAACTAATAAACTATAGTTAAACTAATTATTATAATACTATAGGTGCTTTCTAGATCTTCTAGAGACACGCTATTAGGTCTTAGGTAGAGGAACCTCTTCCTCGTTATTATCACTATATCCTTTAATATCCGATTTCGATATAATGTTCTTTCTCCTCTCTCTAAGAAAACGTTCTAAGGGACCTTGCCTTACTAATTTAGCTTAAATAAGGACTATAACCTCTTACGTATTATCCTTATTATCCTCCTTATTATTACTAATCGGCTCTACGGTATCAACCTTGACTGGTGGCGTCCGCTTCATTTCGGCATCGCCAAAGGATCGAAATGGTCGGCGTACTGTTTCGGCCGCGGGTCGCACCAGCCAGCAGTTTAGGGTGCTCGAGTTTAACGAAATAGCACACTGTGACACTCCATCCTTTCGCGGCCGCGCTTCTTACAATAGTTGCATTTCTTGGCAGTCTGCTTCACGGTATTGACAGACGGGCTAGACGCTACCTGCAAGGGTGTTAGAGACTCTTTCCTCCGAACCGTCCATTCGGCATTAGACAGACGGTTTTCGATCGTGGTCGGAGTCACCGGATCCTTGTCATTTTGAATGGCATCCACAATCAGGACATATTCCGGTCCGATGTGCGTTAGTAAGATCGCGATATGCGATCGATCGCTAATCGATCCGGCCGCGATGGCCGAGAAAGCATTGTATATGATTAGAGACGGCAACCGAGAGATTGCTGCCGGGCTCATAACCTGTTGTATGTCAAAGGAAGATTGATTGTTCTTATAACAGAGGGAATAACCGAGGCTATATATACAATGAGAAGATCAAGTTGATTTTCAATCAACTTGGTTCTTTGTATAGACAATGCAGGGATTAATTCAGCTGGGGCGGCTTGATTCCTGATCTGCACCAGCCTCATATTACAACAGGTTCTAGTGAGGGTTCTGCGAGGGCGTACCGCTTATATCTAGAACACATAATCACATTGTCAGAAAAGAAAAATCAAGACATTCCCTACTCAGGGGTTGGTTCAATATTTTTTAGTGCTTCCCCTATTGCCTGGAATGTGGCAATCTGTCGTTCCTGCTCTTCCTGAGGCAGAGCAGCAAAAGCACTTGCTTCTTCGTCCCACTTCCTCACACAGTCCACATTCCAATTGCACCTCTCGACCTCTCCAAAGATCGGGTGATAGAATCGTGGGTGACGGTTTGGCCACGCAGATGCGTGGTAATGGTGCTTGACCAACGCCGTGCGCGAATTATGGGTGCCCGAGTCCGAATGGCCTTGCCCAGCGGCGAACGCTTCAACCGTGAGAACCAGAAACCCCCCGACAACTTTGGACTCTGGTATGTCATGGAACATACTCCATGCGACATCCTTGCCCGTTGCACGGCTCATTTCAGATAGTATTGCGCCTGTAAAGGCAGAAGGCCCGGTTCCTGTGATCACATCATCGAAGTCCAGCTGAAGCTCTGAGATTGGCCTCCCTTGCTCGATGGAGAGCTGGTTGAGCCAGTGGAGGATATTCTCTACTAGTCGCATCATCACTGGCTGTCGAGGCTTGCACATGAATGTCCATTGACAGAAGGATTGAGATTTTCGACCTAGTATAGGATGATCGCGGAAGTGTGGCTCATCGATTTCGACGCCAATGACCATGTCGATCTCGCTCTCATCGTGGCCGCTTGGGATGAATCGCTCAACTGGTCTCAATGCCTCCACGTCTATATCAGCATAGACACCTCCCTCCATGTACAAAACAAGATACCGAAGTAGGTTGGCCTTGATGATTGGAGCCGTTAAAGATCGGTATGTTTCAACGATATCTGGTCGATTCAGCCCAAGGGGTCCGAAGTTTGTTTCGACATAGCCGAGGTCATTCTGGTCGGTCAGAACCTCGTACCTATAGCCCGGGTTTTTAGATATCCAGCTGCGCGCTACCCCGGTATCACGCTCGTCGAATTCCAATGGATTCACTTTCCAGATCTGCCAGATTTTCCTGGGAAATTGTTCGCCAATATTGCTCGTCAGCTGAGTAGAGTACGATTTATTCTCGCCAGATTTGTGCGACGTTCTGGTGACACAGAAGTAGATGAACAGACACAAGGCCACTAGGCCCCCATGTGTGAATCTGCGTGCCTTCTTCGGAAAGAGACTGGGCGACACGAAATTCTTCTCCAGCATGACTGGGCCTGTGATGGGATTTAATTCAGTGGCCTCCTGTCTGGGACAAGCATCGAAGTCGAGAAAGGAGAAAGATTGTCGGTACAGGAAGGCAGGGCCTTATTTCACTGATAAGTACGTAATTAACATGTGGTATTCATTAAGTCTACAATGCATTGCCTCGGGTCACGATACTCCCTATCACCTTCGCAGGTTTGTACCGGGTTTGTTAGGGTGTATTGTCGGTACAGTCGCGAACGCAATAGTACCTGTTGCTGGCACGGAAATGGTCAAGGGCTGAAGCTTAACTGATTGGATCATTCCTAGAGTAGTAAAACACCTTCAGCCATTCGGGCGGCGGGGCCAACAGTAGAGACCTGGTGGGGGCAGTCAATTATGGATTTAGTTCGAAACGCCATTTAGGCTTCGGGCTTCCGTAAGTTTTATCCGGATTGAATGGTGCGCACTCACATGCGACCCCAAGCCTTCTTACATTGCAGGGGGTGAGACCGTGGCTGCATGGCGTTAGTCACATCGGGTCATATCCCCGAATCTGCGTTCAGGCCCTGATTTGTGGGGAAGGGAAGTGGGCCGCGGGGATCCGGCTTTAATTAATATGAGACCCAATCTAGCAGCAGGTCTTTATGAGCCTCGGCACGAGTGGGCACTGGGGCTCACCCGCTAACAAGGACTACTCACTGTATGCACTGGATTCACGTGTTACAGAGTTGTACTGAGAGCTGTGTAATTCTCAAGCGGTGAAATTTGGGTCTCTATTGATCTTTTCTTCAAATTTTCAAAGGACTCTCTTAACTTTAGTCCACTCGCCCGATGCCTATGCTACACCCCTCAATCGAGAACTCTTCACCTCAGTTGTTAAAGTCAAGCCCAGAGCGAGCCCTCGAGGATGGACAGTGGAAACCACAGTTCGCCCATATGACACGCTCTCGGCATGGGATGTCACTCTCCTCTTGCATGGTTCCCTTCCTACCCATACTCCTTACTGGGCGGACAAATAGCGACAACAACGCGAATGAAAAGCAAAGGTTACTTAGCAGGCCCACCGCATACCTAGATGGATTGCGAGGTTTTGCGGCTCTACTAGTCTACTGGGGACATCATCAACTTTGGGCCCACGATGGCGGAGGGGTGGGAAATGCCTTCGAGCTGGCCTACGGTTACGACAGCAAGTATTATTTCGCATGTCTTCCTGGTATTCGAACATTGTTTTCTGGGGGCCATTTTGCCGTCAGCGTCTTTTTCGTGCTCTCTGGGTACGTTCTTTCAATGAGGCCACTGGTAAGCATCCAGGATGGCGATTACGTTGGACTAGGTAAATGCCTTTCCTCAGCCGTATTTCGCCGATGGTTTCGTCTATATATTCCTGTCATTTGCACAACATTATGCTACATTACATTTTTGCACTTGTTTAAGATCACCGCTGTCCCAGAGCTTCAAGGAAGCTACCGCGCGGAGCTATGGAATTGGTACGCCGAGTTCAAGAATTTCAGTTTCCCTCTCCGAACAGGCGGCGAGCCCTGGTTCACATACAATTTCCATGCTTGGTCTATACCCGTCGAACATCGAGGCTCTCTGGCTGTCTACACCGCAGTTCTCGCCTTTTCAAGATTTCGCCGCGATGCCCGGCTCCTAGGCGAAGTCGCGTTGGTTGTGTACTTTTTGTACGTTGCGGATGGATCACACTATGCTATGTTTATTGCCGGCATGCTTCTAAAAGATCTCGACCTCCTCGCCATGCGAAATGACTTGCCCCGCTTCTTTCTCAGACTGGGTCCCTTTAAGACAGCCATCATGACTGTTCTCTTCTATGCAAGCCTTTATCTTGGAGGGGTCCCCTCACATACGGACAATTTGCAACAATTACGTGACTCACCAGGGTGGTACCTCTTATCCTTCCTAAAACCACAGGCAGTGTTCGATTACAAGTGGTTCTACCTGTTCTGGGCCGCTGTCTTTCTCGTCGCATGCACATCTCACCTTCAGTGGCTCAAGACATTCTTTAACGCCCCATTCAACCAGTACTTGGGCCGTATTTCGTTTGCATTCTATCTGGTTCACGGACCGGTTCTGTGGACTTTGGGTGACAGGCTCTATGCTGCAGTGGGTTTCGTACGCGATTCACACCATGAGAATTGTCCCTGGTGGATTAATCGCCTCCCCTTGCCTAACGTTGGTCCTCTTGGGCTTGAAGTCAACTTTCTCGTCGCGAACCTGGTTCTGTTGCCCTTGACTATCT